TTACACATACTACCGTGTCAAAAAAGGATGTAAATAGAAAAATATTCGTTCTTTACTTTCTATTTGAATACTTGTCTCTCACAGTCTCTCAATGTATAAAATGCTCGATCATCATGAAAACTTAAGTATCCAAGTTTTAATTCTAAGTATCAATATTTCATTGAATTTTCAAATTAATAATACTTTATAAGATATTAATAATACTTTATAGATTGGATTTCTGAGGATATCTTTGCATATTTAAAAAAAATTTGAAAAAAAAAATATTAAAAAAAATTCTTACGATACATATCTATTTATACTATTCTTATGAGAATTAAAAAATATACATGTGAGTTTTTATAAACCGCGTGTCATACTGTAAAGTATTAACATACTGACACGTATATCGACATTAATTATGAAGGGAAGAAAGAATTCAGTATATATTGACGTCAGTATCTAGTTTCATGTTTTGCTGAATCTACATATCTGTAGATCCGGCCAAGCCAACAGTCACACATAGCGATTTCGGCGTCACATATGCGTGAGCCGAACTTTATGGACTTACATAACATCATTTTTTATTCAACAGGCATACATCCGACCGGCGGGTGCTTAATTGGTTGAGAGATCGGGGCTAAGAAATGTTTGAGCTTGACTGTTTTTGAGGCCAGCGAGGTAACAGACCTGATTTGCAATTCAGCGGTGCTCAGCTGACCGAGCAGCTGGATGAACGAATTCATCAGCGAGTGATTTGAGGAATGTACGGCGCAGCGAACGATACCAAGGTACGCTATACGTACCACACGTGTTCGCGAAACATGATAGTTTCGAGCGCGACACATATCAGTGACGCTCAAGTATGAATATTTAATAGAGATTTTTAAAGATTGCCAAGAATCTTGACAAGCTTCTTATCTGTTTGTTAGACTCACGATTCAAAGATTTTGAAAAGATTCAGGATTCAGTGATCTTCAGTAGATCTTTTAAACTGTGCTCGGTTATCTTTCTTGATTTTCAAGCATCTTCAAAGTCTTTCAAAACTTTTCAATTCAATTCCTCTACAGATTCTCGCTTAACGATTCTGGAAAGATTTTTTAAACTTGTCAGTACTAAGTAAAATATTCTGAGAATGTGTAAAGATCGGAAAAGGTTCTGTCTTTCGGTTCATGTTGTTTGTATTACGTGCGTTATCAGCCTTTCTATGAACACCACAATGATAGCAGGCCGTCCACCTAAAGATAAGGTCCCAAAGTCCACAAAAACGCATCTCAATTCAGTATTCATCTTGTTCTTCATGGTCGTATATATCGAAATAAAACCTCGCCGTCCTTCCCCCCTTCGAATGTTTTCTTCGTTTAATCAAATCGCACGCAAATGCGTAGTTTCGACGTAATCTACGCAGAATGGACTTTTATACATTATAGTGAACATATATACATCGTCGTAGCTCATAATTAAATTATTAAACATACGATATTATTTCTCCAAATGAAGGTATATAATTATAAACTTTATATCTAATGAAAAATACAACTAAATGTTCAAATATCATTTATAGGATCTTTGCTATTCTTTGACAAATTAGTCAGAAATCAGAAATTTAGATGAAAAATTAATTAAATTATAATAATATATAGATAGCTGTTGTCTCGAGTTTATACAAATGCTTATAGTTTGGAATAATTATATAATCGATGATGATACACAAATGATTAGGTTGTGACACGACGAAACGGAAATGACAAAAACAATGATATTTTATCGAAATGAATAAGATTCTAAATTTAAGTCCAATATCTGTTATATAAATAGTAAAATGTGTAAATAAGATAAATACATATATAAATATACATATTTCAAAATACATATATAAATATACATATTTCGAAATACATATATAAATATATGTATTTTGAAATGATTTAAATAGTGTAAAGTAAAGTTATCATTAAGATCATGCGATTAACCGATCGATAAAAAAAACCGAACGTCATCAATGTGTGTGCTCGCGTATGTATATGTGTATGTTGGAATGTCTCATAGTGTAAGCACCAAATAACAGTTAAGCCGTAAAAGCGCGACGATAAATAACCAAGAGACGGGTCATCGTCCACTGGTAGACGAGATTCACGTTCAACGAGCTGTATTAGAATCGGCGTCATTTATACGCGTGCGCGCGGACATTGTGCTGACGATAGTACTACGGTATCAATTATATCGAGTATCGGAATATTTGCGACGTCAAATATCCCTTTTCAAATATATAATTTCGATATTAAAATAATTATGACATTTAGGGCGCATACGTCGAATAATCCGTTAAATTTTTTTTCTTCATGGTATTCGAATTTTTCATGGTGTCGAAAATGATGGATACTCCTTGAAATCGAATCATCATCAAGAAGTTTCATGCTTGAGCATCCTTCGTTGAAAAAATTTTATAGAAATCACATTCAGATGTTTGAGGCGATAAATAATATCCGGGAAACACACGATCGTGATCCATTTTTCGCAAAAACTTGATCGTCATCGTCAGGGATTTTCATATGACCCATCATTATGAGACGGCCAGTAATCGTCTAGCGTGACTAATAGGACGAGCGAGTTTACAGACGTTTACCGTGCTATCAGCGAACACGTAGGAGTCTTTTTTATGTGGGTGCGCTATACATTCATAGATGTGTGCTATGCGTGTGTAATATTATGTGAATGTATATGTAATGAGTAATTGAACGATGCGTGTAGAGAGAGAGAGAGAGACAGAGACAGAGAGAAAGAAAGAGAGAGAGAGAGAGAGAAGGAGGAGAAGGAGGAGGAGGAAAGCAAGCAATAAACATCGTTGTATGCGATCGTCTCGTGCACATTGGACTTTATTGCATTCGTTGACTTACTTCTGTGCGAAAGCGAGGGAATGAGAAACAATTATAGGACGTAAGAAAAATAAGTCTAAATTATATAATGTGTTTTCAGAATTCATATTTAGATTTAAATATATAATGGATAGAAAATACAGATTTTGTGCAAGTGAAGGAATTTAGTGGCTAGTATAACAGATATATGATAATAAAAATTTAGTATCGATGTATAACTGAAGTATACAATACAACGTTATCGCTTACAATATAACATTATCAGCAATTTTTGATCTAATTCTGGATGAAGTTGCAATAATCCTGACCTAACATAATTCTATGTTAAGATGGATTCTACTGTTTCAATAAATAAAGCTGGTAGCCTAATCTAATTTTAATCTAATCGCAACAGTGTATTTAATGAATACAGCAATGTATGTGATACATGTGCCACACTAACACTAATGAAAATATAAACTAGATACGTATATTACTTCGCGTATAGGACGCAATATGTTAAACAGATACAAAATAGATTTACAAAGATTTAATAGCAGCAGTGAACTTTATATTTGAATAACTTATCCAGTTCTGATAGTAAACTTGATATTATATGATTTTTATCTTTTTTTGCAATCGAGTAGTAAGAAACATATGATAAAGCTGATATTAAAATCAATGAATAGAATGATCCATTACATAAATATTTCGACTTCTTTTAGATCGAAGAAAAACTCTACGACTTTCCGGACACTCGGTAGATGCTAATGAAACGGATAGACGCTAATATGGTTAATATATCTAACGATAAACATTTTTCAATCGTCATCGCATTCCCGCCTCGATGATTTTTCGCGCTCCCTCGACGCTTTTTAGATCGGTGTCTCGGGTTTCCGCGGCAACTGAGATAACAATAATGACAAATAATAATAAATACTTATTATACACGTACAACTTTTTGCTGCTTGTGAGTTTTCACGCTGCGCAGATCTCGAATATTCGCGATGTTTTTATGATGGAAAAACCGCAAAGGCGGCTATTATTGAAGAAAAAGCGGGAAAAAACCAGAGTTTAAATGGCATAAGTCAACAGGTATAATAGGAGACAGATATAAGTGTATCATCGACAAATTAAATCAACTGATATGGAATACGCATGAATTTGTGAATCTCAAAATTGTAGATCGCACGGAAAATCCAAGTTTTTATTTAATGATACGTTGATATGGCGATGATCATGAATCATAAAATAATTCACAATCTTCTCGTGTAAATGTATCTTTACTTTGTGTAATTATTTTATCGTATAATTCTTAAATTATATAAAATATATATATATATATATATATATTTGTTTTAGAGAAATATTACGCGTATTATTTATAAAATTGTCCGAGAGAAATTGTTTTTATATTTTTTCTGGATGCCAGGAATGCAAATGAACACAAAGCCGCTAAATTTTGGCACACCCACGTGCAACTTTGCAAACGTCGAAACATTTTCAAAATCGCTTGCACAATCGAAGAAGGAAATTTTGTTCAGCTTTAATATTTATGGAAACTTCCTTTTTCTTTATCATCGCATCTTCTTTGACATTATCTCATAATACTATTTTTCAGCAGTTACATCTGCGTTACATCTGATGTACCTGTACCTGTAGTTACGCCGATCCACGTGGGGGATTTACGGATCGCTGAAATCGCGGAATTACGGATCCGCGTATAAATAACAATTAGAATGGATTACCCAACTGGATTGATAACCGCGCTATCGTAATGTATCTCGCATTAAATCGCTACACGGGTCGCAAATGGTTCGCGAATTGTGTAAACTTATAATCGACCTTTGACGTCACGATCGACGCCAAGAATTGTGACGCGTTGCACGCCCGCGCATTTAATCGATCACGCTCGTGTCCGATTATCTAATCGTCGTCCACCGTGGCGGAACAGAATTCTTTCACGCGGCTCGCCAAGATTCGCGATACAGCTGATGCAGGTGAAAATTGAAATTATTATACAGTCCGATTTCAAATCAAAGGACAGTGCGCTTTATTCGTGCCCAATCGTCCTTTAAAGAGGCGACGTCTGATCTCAAAAAAAAAAAAAAAAGAATTAAACCAAGTTGCATAATTAAATTACGCGAATAAGGAATTATTTTTGCAAGATTTTCTCTCTCGGAAAATAAGAGAGAAATGAAATCATCCTCTTCATCTTTCTCTTGTACATGCTTCGCAAAAATTTGCAGCCTTTTAACGTCGCGATTTTCGGAGAAAATCTAAGCACACGAGTATCACGCTATCGTCGCGTCTGAGAGAAAAAATTGATATTCGTCTCCGAGATTGAATGGGAAGAGATGCGTATCGATACTCAATCAAGCTTAAGCGCCTCCGCCGATAACTCCGAGGCTAATTAGCGCCTGTTGATTGGTCACCTTCGCCGGCGCGCCATCGCGTCGGCCAACATACGCCGAGGGGTGGGGGCTTATTTACTTGCGTCGGGTCACGCTGATCTCGGACGAGACGTTAGTCTTGCGTGCGACGCGCATCGCGTTGTTTCGTTGCGTTTGCGCCTTTTCTCTCTCTCTCTCTCTCTGTCTCCTCTCGTTCCTTAAATATACATATCTGCGTCGCGCTCGCTGATTCCGATGGCACGCTGCCCGCCGTCGTTTTGACGGGATTTCAATGATGTAGAACGTGCCAATTGATATGGAGTTGACGTTTCGCGCTGGTGCACGGACCGCGGGCCTTAAAGGCTCCTGACGATTTCGAAAAGAGGATAACTTGAATATGAATATTTCGGAACTCGATGGAATCGACGAATCGTTACGTGACACGTGAGCGGATTTTTCCGTTATATAAAATCGAAGTAGGACTTTTTGTGGATCTCTCGGGACAATCTTGAAGACGAGTGATATGACACATGTGATAATCAAGTAACGAACAATTATCCGAAACGAAACACGGTATTATGAGACGGGAATTGTGGACGCGGTTGAACGCAAGAATCCGAGTTGAAATTGTTTAGTGGCTCGTTAAGCGATTTTTTGCTCCTTATCGACAACGACGTGGCCGCGAAGAGAGTCATAGATTATCGGGGGCCCTAAATGGCACCCGATTTCGAGAAGAGGCGCCAGGAATTAAGGAGGGGCAGTAACGCGACCTTGGACCATGTCAAGGATCATCTGGGCATGCTCTTACAATCGAGCCGTGCAAACGGCACTGTGTTAACGGATCTTTATCGTCATGGTAATTAATATGAGAATTGAAAAAGTCTAGCTGAAATCTTCACGACTGAATTTTTATCATTTTTTTCGTCTCATCTAGAGAGATTTTTTTCAATTTAATTTTCTCCACTTTGTATAATTTCATTTTAAAAATAATTTTTTTATTTAATTTAGTAAATATCCTTTTTAAATTCTTTTGAACATATACTGCTGCTGCTGAATCTTTCTATTCATTCCTTGTAATATTTGTAAGTTATTTGTCGGAGCAAAATTTATAAGCAGAGATCTTTCTATTCATTCCTTGTAATATTTGTAAGATATTTGTCGGAGCAAAATCTATAAGCAGAGATTTTTTAGTTGATTTTACTCAAGTTTGTTTTATCGAACTAAACCAGTTTGATTTGGTTTACTCTCGTATTTTCTTCGATTCTCTTCGCTTTTAATGTTTTATTTTGGATTGTCTAACGAAGATATCGGTTTATGTTCATTAAGGATTAAGGAGGATTTTTTAATCTTATCTATCTTATCTAATTTGTTTAAGAATAAAGTCCAGGATTTTAGTTTGTATATATAATAACTTGAGGATTTAGAGATACTTTAAAGTATGTTAATAAACTTGAAGATTTTTCGTAATTATCTTTACTTATCATTATAGGACTAGGAACTTGTTTTACCTTAATAATTAAAAATATTTTTATTGCACACATTTTATTAGGAGTCTTAACAAAAAAAGTGCAAATTGAGGAGCGAATTGCAAAGACGTAAGAATTCAATCTTTTATTAGATTAGATAAAAAAGGGACGGAGGGGGGGATTCGACCATAGACATCTTTATCGAATGCATAATTATCTATTGTAATATAAAAAAAAATCCATATATTTTCGTTTTGCTCTTTCCCATTGACAGTTGAGTTTACATTATAAGAAAATGTATGGCAGATTTATCTCTTTGTATTCTCTCTCTCTCTATGACTTCAGACATGAAATTGTGTGCACATGCTTTTGTGAGGTCAGTAAACTTGTGATGAATGTTTTTCACGCTATCTCCCGCCGACATTATTATTGTTGAAAATACTTAGCTTTAATATCGTAGCTGGTCAGCGGGAAAACGATTGTATGCAAACGGCTCTAGATAACCCTCGCGATTCGTGATACGTCTAAGGGGTTCGAGATGACTATGAAATATGAGAATAAGAGATAATAACAAAGAATATATATATAATTGCATATGCGGGAATCTAATTTTTGCGATAAACAGCGCTGAGGAAGGGATGTTAGAATATTAGCCACAATTTGGACGGTGCTGAATGACCGATAATAACTTAAAATGACGAATGAGAATCCAATGACCGATAAAAAAGCAATTATACTAATATATACTAATATTAAAAGCAATTATACTAATATTTGCTCCATCGTCCTTTCATTAATTATGATTTTAACGAAATAATTTTCAAAATTTTAAAATTTGATAATTTGTCTAATAATTATGTTGTTCAAGAATGTTGAAGAATCGAGTTCTGAAAGAATTTCCGAAATTCAAAAAATGAAGATTGAGATTTGAGAATTGAAGAACGAAAGTTGACTCTCGCGCAGCGGGACACGTTTGCGAGACGAATATTAATGCGCTCATATCAATATTCTTGTCACTGTTTACTTGTTTGAATGCTACACTCCCGAATACCGATTACGACAGTCGCGTTTAGTCAAAAATTAAATCAAATAAGATAATTGAGCGGTGAACGAGAGAGGAAAGAATAATTTTTAAAAGTATCGTTTTTTATAATCGTTATATTTCCTGAACGCAGCAAAAAAAAGTTTGAAAAATCTTTGAGATTTTACAAAGACCAGACTCTCTAGAAAATTCAAAGTTTTGAAACTCTCTAATCTTTAAAATTAGAGAATCTGAGATTCCAAGGACTTTCTGTCTCTATCTTTTTCAAATAATATTAATTAGATTTGATAAAAAAACCTATTAACTTTAATTACGTCGTCGCCACATCCGTGTTTCGAAATGCCCTGTATGTGAATGATCCATGTCGTCATCTCCTTGAATTGGTATACAAAAAAAAAAGTCTTTGGCCTATACTCGTATCTTGACGATCGCTAAAATCGCATGTAAACACGAATGCGCGCATACGTGGCTCGTTAACGGCGCGCTGTATACATAGTTGAATAACGCCTATAATTCGTTGGATAACGGAGCTAACACACGCACGAATACATATGACAGTTGACTCAATTGGCGGCGCATTGATAAATTTGATTAGGCCAAACCAAACAAACTGGTTTTTCGAATCAATCGACAACAAAAGTTTAGCGCGCAATTAACAGCGACGTCTCCGAATGCTTATCCCAATTTTTGTAAGATTACAAATTAATTATCGACGTACATCTTTCAAGGATTATAATATTATGTAAAATTTTTTGACAAAGCCGAATTTTTCACGTATAATTTTAATAATAAATTAATAAATTTTTTAAAGATATAAAGAAATATTTGAAAGAAATTTTATATATATATATATATATATATATATATATATATATATATATATAGTAAAAGAAATATATTGTTATATAATTGTGCCAATAATTATTACATATGAAACATACGAGTATGTAATTATTACAATTACGAAGAGAGAAAGAAAATGATATCTCAAAGAAGATATCTTTTTGCCTTGAAATAAGAATTTATATATTATTTTATTTTTCTTTTCTAAAAAATAATGCAATGAAACATGCAGATCAGATTTATTAAAACTCTTTCCAAAGCAATTTTTTTATTGGTGATTTTATTTCAATGGAATCTCATTGTCTTGTTTAAGTCGATATAAAAAATGATAAATTTATATTTATATTGATACTGACGCGATTAATATGGTCAACTAATTGATTAAAACGAAGATAGATATTTATCTTGTAGAAAGAAATACAGTTTGTGTGTATGTGTGTGATATTCAATAATTATCATTCCTTTTTCACTTTCTTAAATAATTGTTTTGATGGATTTTTAATGTAAAATTTATTATTATTATTTTGTTATTTTGTTTATTAACCTATTATATTATAATTATAGTCCTATAGAAAATATAGTTATTTTTATTGTTATTTAATGATGAAAATAGAAAAAAAGGTATTTAGTGAAAATTAAATAATTGGAAAAATATTCCAAGATTTTTTAATTTAAATTATATTAAATTCTTATAAATTTTTATTATTTTGTCATATATTATTGACTTTCTTGCTAATAAAATTTTTATTTTTAATAGAAAAAAATGCGAACAGAGGTATATAATCATCATTACTGGAATTTACATCGCAATTTGAATATTAATCGAGACAGAAATTCCAATGCTCATCAACCGGAATTCATCAACAAGCTAGTAAAGTTGTTCTGTTATCGTTCAAGGATCTTGTCCTCTTTTTCGTCTCAAGCGAGTCGCGTATCACTGAAATCAGTGTCTTGTTATCGGGATTCGTTCGAATAGATACACGATGTTCTTATCGATAAATCATTCTCTCAGGTCTGATCAGTTATCGATAAAATTTACTTCGATTTTGCCTTCTTCATTCGCGCTATAAACACTATAATGCGCTTAACAATAGTATTCCATGCTATTTTATTTTGAATTTTCTTTAGCTGTTTTATCTCTATTTCGCGTTTTGTATTTTATTTTATATTTCTTTGTATAATTAAAAATTTTTTATGCTTGGTTTAATCTGCGTCAACTTCTTGTTTCGATTTTTAAAAATATATCGTTTCATTATCCTTAAGCTTTATAATTTTCGTTGATTTCTTAAAATGTTTTAGGACAAAATCTTATAAGACAATAATAATAGTATGCTGCATTTATATTTGTATGCTATTTCTTTCGGTACCAGCAGAGCAGTATCGAGCTTCTGGTGATTCTTCGACTCCTTATCTGGACTACTTAAGTAGGCTATCAGAGATGCCATTAAGTGTACACAGACTGTCATGTGAGCGCAACGAACCATTTTGTCGGAATCCAAGGAGACTGCAAAATATCTGAGACATATCCTAAAATGAATCCTAAAAGTCTTTCTCGTTCTCTTTCGTGCATACCAAGTAATGTTCAGCAAAGAATAAGCTTAACTATAGATTGCAAGGTAATTTTACGATAGAACTTTAGTCTTCTACAATCAGTTATTGAAAATCAGAATTTATCCAATTATTTATAAATCTCTCTTATTTGTTTGTAAAATCAAACCATTATTTTCAGACACACGATGTACAATTGCAAAAATCTAATTACTTATGACTCACATAAAACTATCTATAGAATAAAACAAGATTTACCTGTTATAGAGACTGAACCTGTTAGAATGCATCTCTTAGACACTTTGTTCTTCATACATCTACGACGATCAAAATCTACCATCGATAACATCGACGAATTAACGCGTCTCGTGGAACAATATCACTCAGCTGCGACGAGAATCGACCCAGCATTGATCCGTCCGTTCGTCCTTCTATCCATTCGTCCTGGTAACGATATATCCTTGAGACTCGAGAGGAGAGGCGTCGTAGTTAGCGCGCTCGCGCTCTGTTTGCCGTATAATAGTAACGATGTTTATCGATCCTGTTATCGAGGGTACACTCTTTCTCTCTTTTTCTCTTTCTTTCTTTCTGTCCAGCTCGAGGACGCGGGGCTAGAAGACGCAAATACCAGAGAAAGCCCTAATTCGTCTTGGCGGTACCCTTCCACGTGGACGCGCGCGCGCGCACACAGACGAGATGATAAAGAGATACATTCACCTCTATCGCAGGTGTACAAAGCGTTCCGTCGTGTTTATTTATCGACTGGAGATATTGCCAGGGTATAATTAAAACCATCGGGGCGTCACTATCCACGAGACCTTCGCGATTATTATCTTTATGGCATTGCCGTGTGCTTGATTATGCAGCTATTGTTGTAGTGAATGGCGCCATCCGTTATTTGCGAAACACCCAATGATCGGTGTGCACGATTTTCGAGAGAAACACAGAGAGATGAGGGATCGAAGAACTATTCAAAACTAGCATTTTTACCTTGCACATCAATGCTTAAACTGAATATTGCATACTATAAAACCTGTTGATCGTAGCAATCAATGTTTCCAAAATATTTGGCCCGAACAATGATTTATTATATTACTTTTTAATATGATGTAAAAAATAAAGACTCGCAAAATTAACGGTATAAAATTAGAACTTTTGTAGATATTTTATGTGAATTTTATGAATAATAGATTATTCTTGTGCTGATTGTAATAAGCGGAAAACAGAGAAAGAGAGTGCATACTTCTGACATAGATTGCGAAAAAAAGAAGAATAATAATTGTTACTTGACGTAATGTAATGATTGACAATAATAGCAGTGGAACGATACTAGAAAAGAAAAAGAGAACGAAAGAAAGTGAAAGAGAGAAATGAGATTGGAAACCGACAGCCGGGTCGTTGACATCGTCCCGTGATTTTCCTCGACGTTCACACCGATGCACGGTTAATGCACGTGTGTGCATGCGTCGATTACGTGCCCACCTCCCCATGGATCGCCAGGGCGGAAAGGAGAGAGGGATGAAGAATCGAACCCCGTTGCCACCAGTTGCGTCCGCGATTGCAACTTCACCCCCACGCAATTATCCCATCCAGTAGTCGAGGTGGTCTATAGATAGATCGTCCGACATTGCTCTGCCTTCTTCCCTTATACTCCCTCCCTCTCATCCTCGTCATCTATATTTTTTGTCCCTCTTTCGTCGGGACTCGTGTGTTTCGTATTTTTCCCCCTTTATCTCTTCTCGATGATGCACGCCGGTTCTTCATGCACGGCATGTAAATCGAGAATTGGTCTATCAACGTTGCATCGAATGGTGATTTGTGTTCGCGGCATTCGGTTTTATTGGTAATAAAAGCCTGAAGATAGATTTAAAGATGTATATATAATTTTATTGATCAATATAATAATATTATATTCTGTAGGACAATTTTATAGTGTGTTGGCTCTTAAAAGGAAAGAGAAGAATTTGAAATCTTTTAATTACGGCTTTAGAAAAAGTGGAACACAGTTTAGTCTAATAGTTGAGGATCTTAAGATTTATGACTGTCTGTGGAACTGAAAAATAAAATGAAAAATAAAAAAAAATTCTACAATTTATAATAAATCTGAAAATCAATGAAGATTTGAAAAATTGCATTTGGATTTGTTTATTTCTTTCGATTTATTTTGCTTCCTATATGTATTTGTACTTGACATTTAATTTCTCTTCAATTCATGAACAGTTAGAAATGATATAAATAAGTAATATAATCACTTAACTCTATCCTAATCAAATTGAATGCAGTTATTGATCTATTCTGAGATAGACCGAAGCAATCCATCTCCTTTCTAATATGTTATAGATTTTCAATTGATAGTAAGATGACAGAGTATTGATACATGTCACGTAAGAAAAGACGCAATATAAAAATAGTATATTGCTTTATCTGATTGATAAATCATTTTTATCTAATTGATAGATTTAATCTGGCCTGTGTTTATTCCAGTTAAACTAAAATTTAATGTGTTTATTTTTCAGGTAACACTGCAGGCGGCACATCGTCGACGGTGACAACATCGTCTATCTTGAGGAGCACCACAATTACAAATAATCGCGCTCATTCTACGACTAGGAGGACAGTTAGTCATCAGCAACGACAACAGCAGCAGCAGCAACAAAGACAACAACAACAAAAACAATCTAAAGTGCCGCTACCGTCTTTCAGTGGCGTCAATGTGAGAAGCTCGGATGACCACGGACCTAGAACGGGTACAACGCAAGACGACAACTCGAACGATTCTGGTCTTGGCTCCGAGGAACGTCAACAGCACTTCAACAACGTCAACGTTAGTATCTAATGACAAACGATAAGTCCCAAGGATAAGATATTGCCAAATCTCGCCTAACGATTTAAATAATCTTACTAATTATACTGTGTATAACTTTATTAAGCTATATGTTATAGAGTATTAGCTCTGTAGTATAAAAATAAATATAGTAAAATTGAATATCTAGAAATTTTAAGGGCCCGTAAATTTGTTTTCAAGCTTCCTATACATTTGTACGCACGAAAAATTATGAATAAAAAAATATTTGATGGAATGTTAAAAAATATTATTTCGAGAAATTAACAAAATTTCTTCGCGGACAAGAATTTGTTCGCAAGTTATTAATCAAATCTCATAATTGATCCAATATATTTTCTATTTTTGTTTTTTTTCCTTTGCTGGAAGATTGGAAAAATTGATGGATCCTTATATGAACATTGCATTTTGCTTATTCTTGCTACGGTTACGACCTTGAGTCTTATAGTTAAGAAGCCAGATAAAGTTATTTAATGTGTTCACGAGGGTACGCGTGATCGTCATCAATATCATCATTGGAGATCGCCGACCGCTCGAACGGTAGTTGAACCCAGCCGAGTTTTGATTCGTTAAATTAAGTACACAGACGCTCACGCACGTATGGGGTGTCCCTCTTGTACTAATCATTTGAAATAGCTTTTTTTTACAGCATCGAGCGAAAAATGGTGCTGAATCGAATTATTAAGATATTTAATATTGATAGAATTTGAATAAAATTTTAATTTAATAAAAAGATAAAATAATTTATAATTTTAATTTATACAGTCTATAATATATATATTTTTGTGAAATAAAAATTAAAGTAAAACAGCAGAATTTTCACTAAAATATTAATCATTGCTAAATTTTGTATATTTCATATATATGTAGACATATGTAAAGTATGTGTGTATAGATATATACACACATACTTTACATATGTGTATATTTTAACATCTTTTCTTTTACACATGTACGTCAACTGATTATTTAATGTATCTAATTTGACAATAAATATTTTATAAGACATTTTTATACATGTATAGCTATATTATAAATTAATTAATATCAATAATACTTGTTTTATCAGTCTTGGAACGGTATCGGCGAGGAGGACACTAAAAGAAGAAAAATGGACATCAAGCTGGAATCCGAGGATGCAAACTTTGCATTTCCGGAAGTGGCTCCTGGAACTAGTCCTGACAATAAGTCCTTGACGACCAGAACCACCGCCAATGGAATCGGTTTGGGAAGTGTATCCAATAATAGAACCGGAAACAATAATTCCATGAACAGAATCGTAGGGGTGACCAGACCTCGACCTGCCATGGGCGTACTGACTAAGAGGACATCGATCGCTCATCAGGGACCTATCACTCTTACTTCGCAATTGTGTATGTCTTTAGATAGATGTGTTGAATATATTTTAATGTTTAATACTATTATATATTTAATACTTCTATAATATATAATGAGAATTAATGAAAATATAAAATGAATAGAAATATAATTATAAATATAATTAATAGAAATATAAAACTAATAGAAATGTAATTAATAGAAATAAATTAATAGAAATGAAAAATAAGATCAGTATATAAAATTCAAGTTAAAAAAATAAACTGAGAATATTGAATTATCTAATTATACTATTTTGGATAAGAATTTAGAGATTTTTTTAAATCTTGAGAATTCTTAATTATTTCTTAGTTTTTAAATTACTTAGTTATTTATTTGAGATAATTTTAATACATATAATATTACGTTCTCTTATAAATTATAGATTTTATTGTATAGTTGAAGTAATCGAAAATGAAAATTTGGCACCTCGAATTCTCTTATAGTTCTCTACTTATCAATACTAAATATATATTCGACTTAATACTATTCGAGTTAACCCCAATGAAAGACTTGCGCACTTTATTGCATCTCATAAAGTTAGTTGTTTCTGAAGAGAGAAAACATTTGTCTTGCCAGAAAACGAGAGCAGGGATGAACAACTCGTTACTCGTTACGTATTGCAGAAGTCGCGCATTGTCATCTTCGATGTTTTGCAACAAGAGCAAACTTATCGGTAAATTTATTTCCAACAAAATTGCTTATTTTTCGCCGATAAGCTATCTCTTTTGGTTCGGGAACCAGTGTTCTCTCTATTTTCCTCGTGTAGCGATAGCTAGCAACAAGATAAAATATAAATACAACATGAAATTTGATATTCCAGTTTTTGATACCAGATATAGGTCAAACAAGCATATCTGCGAAATATTTATAGTCTGGATAATAGAACGACATGCTTTATTGTAGAATATGTAAAAAAATGATTCTAATTTGATTAATAACGAATGAAATTATGGATCATTGATGATAATATAAATGATAATATATATAAATTTCGTAAATTATTTCAGTCTTAATTTTTATATATTTACAAATAAGAATTAAAAATTTTTAGAGCTTTGAATCTTTCATAGATTCTAAATTTTTCACAAAATCTTTTGCAGAGTTTTTTTTAAATATAAATTTTTACAATTTTATAATTTTTACAATTTTAAGGACTAAAAATATTTCACTTTTCAAATAAATCGTTATTTTCTAAGTAAAAGTAAAATTTAAATATAAAATTTTTTCTAAATAAAAGTAAAATATAAATATAGAGAATTTCTATTAATTTGTCATATGTCTAATATGTGATTGGACTAGTTCCAACATGATATGCCTGTCTTCCTTTGGCGTTTTTCCAACAAATTAATGGTAAACATTCCGCTATCAAAAGCTCTCAACAACTTTAGCACTCTCTATTTATTCACACCTGCATTTTCCATAAATTACTTCCGAACCTGCTGTATATTTCTCAAACAGAGATTCAGCATTCCAATCTGATTATGTTTACGATCTTTTTTCCGATTGCTAGCCAACATCTCCGTCAACGGTAAGACTCAACTGCAGATTGTGTGCCAACCGGAGCAACAACACCGGGCTCGCTATCAAACGGAGGGCTCGCGAGGAGCGGTAAAGGACCGCAGTGGAAATGGTTTTCCCATTGTCCGACTGATTGGTTATGATAAATCGGCGACTCTGCAAGTATTCATTGGCACTGATTTGGGCAGAGTGGCGCCGCACATGTTCTATCAGGCCTGTCGTGTAAGCGGCAAGAACTCCACACCCTGCATCGAACGAAAGATTGATGGCACGATTGTTATTGAAATTGACATGGATCCTGCAAAGGATATCACTTGCGATTGCGTCGGCATTCTGAAAGAGCGTAATGTTGACGTGGAACATAGATTTCCTCAGGAGGCCGGATTACTTCAGGGAAGAAGTAAGAAGAAATCGACACGATGCCGCATGGTCTTCCGCACGATTATCACGCACACTGATGGAACCACAGAGACGCTGCAAGTCTGTTCGCAACCAATAGTTTGCAGTAAGTCGAATAAAATGATGGATTTTTTATTTAAAATCTTAGAAAGATAGGCGGGATTATAATTAACGAAAAAAGTAATAGAATTATATGTTTGTATAAAGAAGATACATTAATATAAACTTTACGTTAATATTATAAAATAGATAAGAGTCTTAGATATAATAACAAATTCCACGATTTCTCTTATTTCATCAAACTTATATGTTTACAGCTCAACCACCTGGAATTCCAGAGATCTGTAAAAAGTCTCTGACGTCTTGTCCGTGTACTGGTGGATTAGAACTCATTATATTAGGCAAAAATTTCCTAAAGGATACCCGAGTAGTCTTTCGACTAGATAATGATGATGTGACAAGTCTGGAACAGCAGTGGGAATGTACTGTGACGCCGGATAAGGAATATCTGCACCCGGCGCACTTAGTATGTGTGGTACCGGCTTATCGCAGACAGGATCTAGCACCTACAGAGACAGTCAACGTAAAATTGTATGCAGTATCGTCCGGAAAGACTAGTGAACCACATACTTTTCTTTATACGGCCACTTCTACTCCCCCGCAGCCATCTATCGGCAAACTTGAGTCTATTTCACCTCCTCTTCCATTGGCGAACGGCGACACTAACCTGGTTACATCCTCGTCCGTGGTGCCATTAGTCACGGATGTAGCACCCAGCAGTGAGTTTAGTTATCAAATAATTCTTAATTAAAATGATAACTGATAAACATTTTTTAGAAAATATATAAAAATAAAATATATCTTTCTTTATTAATCAGCTTTAATAACGCAAGCAGCTGTGGGAGCGAGTTTTCTAACTAATCCTTCGACTCAGTCCCAACAAACCACCTCTTCAGCAGAGACACTGAAAAATGATCCCAGTCCGCCACCAGCGGGAACGTCCCAAGTACTTCCTGTAATGATGTGGGCCTCGCCTTCTTCGAATTCACCCCCTGATGTTATGATGCCACCTCCGGTGCTTGTGGCCAATTCTCTAATGAATCGACGATCCTCATCGAATCTACAACTGATTCTGCCAGACAACTTAAAAACGGAAGTACTGGATGAGAATAGTGAGAATAGTATGCTGAGTGAAAACAGCATGCAGAGCATTCCAACACCGACGACCACGAACGGACCGACATCTTCCACCTCTCCCCTTCAGCAATTAGTTAATGAAAACTCTAGAGAAGCCGCGTCTTCGCAAGCTGATATCATCAGGACTGTCGGTGTCGCAACTGCTAGTAACAGCCCCGTACGTGAGGCAGTAAATGGTCTTCTTGGAGTGGTGGATTTAATACGTAATCAGCATCCTCTGTCAATGGTGAATGCACATCATCCAACTTCGTTTGCAGGTAGATGTAACAAGAATTTAAAGAATTATCTATTGAATACAGTATAATATACAACATAAGATAAAATTGAACTTAATTAAATCTTATTTCGGTTCTGGAATTATAAACTAAGATTTTACTAATTTTAATTGTTCTTAAATTAAATCAAATATTTTATAATTACTGACTGTAGGTATGCATGAGCAAACTCAGGTTCTCAGTCCTCATTGTCTAAAAGACACTAATAGTGTCTTAGAAACAGAAAACAGCTCCAATGGAGCAGCTCTTCAAGGTGCTGGTGTGGTGGATCTTCGCATGAAACATCATCATCATCAGCCAGACTTTGGCACATTATCGAGCTTCACCGGTGCTTCCGGAACACAGCCGTTATCAGCACCAAATAGTCACGTGGTAGAAAAGTATCTGAATCACATTGAATCCTCGGTGACCACTAGTGAAGAATCAGATAACCCAGAAAATGAGTTTGCCATTCAGCAGCAACGGACTTCCATTATCCCAGGAAGCGTCCAGCAATCGGCACCTCCAGGAATACTGACTACTACAGGTATATGATGTGTATCAAAAAGTAGTATTACTTTTATATTACTTAAAAACTTTGTTATTTTGTATTTTTATTCTAAAATATGTAATTATAAGCGATTAAATTCTAAAATTTTCTAATTTCTTTGCTACAAAGAATTTAAGATTAATTTAAAATATTGTACATATACAACAATATTTCTTTTCAGGACAAACTTCAGTAAACGCCTTAGTAAATTCTGCAGCTGAACAGATGGTCTCTCCATTGCGTGCAGTAAATCCCAATTCCACCACGATGTTGAGTCATGTGACAGCTGAGCACGAAGCAATTGGTAGCAATCAGCAGACTAGATCTAGTCCACCGATTCCAGTGAAGACGATGCTGCTGGAGGCATTGATTCCGCCGCAAACGGTGCAACCATTGGCAGCAGCTACAGGTGCGACATCAGTATCGCCTGCGACGACAGTGGAACAAACAGGAGAGAGTCTGCTAACTACTATTAATGCAGCATTGTTACCGCAATTGCCAGAAACGCAAGTCAATGCGGCAACTGCCACATCGAATTCTACGGTATATATTATTTATTTAAAAGTATCAGAAAAAAAATATAAAAAATTATAAAAAATTAATCAAAATTAGAATCTTAAAAAGGGAGTGAGATTAAAGTTTATACTCTTGAATAAGGAATCTAAAATCTTAGAGAAAAAAATTAGAATTTTAATTAGAATTAAAAAAAAAATTTTTCAATTTATAAAATCCTTTAAACCAAGAAGCATAAATATAAATCAAGATTTGATTTTGTCTTATCAGGTCGCTGGCAATACAATACCGGCAGAACATATGCAACAGCAGATTCAAGCACTTACGCAGCAAGAAGTGGCCGTGATGCAGCAGCAAGTACAACAAGTGGAACAAGTAGTAGCACAAGCTCAACAACAAGTTGAGCAAGTTGTTGCGCAAGCGCAACAACAGGCAGTCCAGGCTGTGCAACAGGCTCAGCAACAGGTGGTCCAACAAGTGGTACAGCATGCCCAAGTAGTGCAACAAGCGGTGCAACAAGTGCATGCAGTGAAGCAAGTTCAAGCGGCTCAAGTGGTGCAACAAGCGGTAGAACAGGCGAGTCAAGAAGCAGTGCAACAAGCAGTGCAACAAGCGACGCAAGAAGTGGTGCAGCAGGTTAGCAATTTTACTTTTAATTTATTTAAACTTTTAATTTATTTAAAAAAAAAAATATATATAAAGAAATATACGAAATTTCTAAATTTTTTCAGCAATCTTATTAATCATTAAAATTCACATTTTTAAATTAAACTGATCGATCAAATGAAAAATGTTCCAGGTTCAAGCAGTGCAGCAAGCTGTCCAGCAGGCTCAAGCGGCTCAGGCTATGCAGCAAGCGGTTCAGCAAGACATCGGCTCCATGTTGAATCAGCCAGCAGGTTTTGTAGCGGAAGCTAGTTCCGCTTTAGCCAGTGGAGCCGCTCATGAACCTTGTCAACAACGTCTAACTACCGCGGCTGAACAAGCCATCAACAACGTCATCACCAATGCTACGAAGGACATTATCAATAATCGACCCATCACGACGACTACCGCTCACGCGATTATCGCCACAAAAAATATTCTGAATAGTGTGGCGACACAGAGCGCGCAACTGATGAATAACACGATGGAAGTGATTTTGCCAAAATCTCCGCCAACGCAAAACAACATCGTTGAACAAGTCGCCAGTAAATCACCACCGGTCGCACTTCCGGTCACTCCAAATCGCCAGGCTGTGAATGCCCCGATTCCCAATCCCACTACGAATACAGCGGTCAATAGGAAACCGGAGGATGGGATGCTGCCTCAAGAGCTCACTTCGATGTCGGATCACGATCTTTTGAGTTACATCAATCCCAGTTGCTTTGAACAGAATGGATTCCTCTTGTAGTACTGCCGCGTTCCTCGCCAAAGGCAGAGGTGATTTTCTTAATTAATTTCTAAACAATGCAAAAGTTTAAAATCTGTCTTTGTATCCTGCATTTAGCTCTAGAGATACAACCGTGAAATTTTAATTCATTTCTTGCTTGATATATGAAAGTGCTTGCTAATGGATAATAGAAATTTAGTCTATACAAAACATTTTTTTGATATGTATAAATCAAAATAATGTGCACCAAGAGTTTAATTACTCAACTACTTTTATACATAACAAAATTGTTTAACTAAAAATTCAACAAAATTTTTGAAAAAAAAACTAAAATAATTGATTTTGTGTTCTATGAAATGTTTTAGTAAATAATTTAATACGTAAATGTTTATAGTGCTACACGTATACTTGCTTGATACGCATACTATTAGATATTTTTGTGATATATTCTTTTGATGATATTATACAAACTTAGTATATATATTAAAGAATCAATGTAAACTAAGTTAGCGTTTAGGTTCGTATAGTAATAGATTAGACAAAGAGAGTAGATTAGTTAAATGTGAGATACAAAGATTAAAAAATGTTTGAAGAATTAGAAACTCTTTCATAAACAAGATAAACAACACTTTTGAAATATTTACGTTTCTGAATTTCAGATTAATCAAGATTAATCTCGATTTTCAGCATCATCACATTAATTTGAAGCTGACGATTCTATGCTATATTTATAATACGTTATATTTTTATAGAAGAGAAAGCAGAAGTACTTTGCCAACTTTGGGATTTAAGTTTATAATATATAAACGCTTCTCAAGATTTTTAATATCTGAAATAATTATAAAACTGCTCGATTTGTGAATTGTCATCTTTAATGGAGCTTGGGATACTTGATCTCTGATTTATTGAATCTTTCAATTTTAAGAATTAATAATTAATAACTTTATTCAATAATTAACTTTATTCGATTTAACAATATGCGAGATTAGTAAATTTTTTATTTAAAGGATATTAACAATTTTATCAAACACCCAAAGTTTTCGGAGATACTTCCGAATCTTCCTACGATTCATAGGAAAAAAACGCTACAAGTCCACAGCGGCAGTTCATTAGAGATCGAGAACTATTAATGTTTAAGTATAAGACGGGCCCCTAAGAAAGGGCGACATCGGATATTTTTTTCTTTCATCTCTCTGTTCCTTTGTTTTATCTTTTACATGAATGTTGTTAATCATTTGATAATTTATTATTTATCTAATATTTCTTTTTGCTATCACTTGCTTCTTTTACATCACAAACTATCTTGAATTTTATTTTAATTTTTTATATTTTACATCTTCTTTTATTGTGTTAAGATTCATAGAAAAATATTCGAAGAATGCTTGATTTTGCTTTTAAATATTCAGTTAACTAATTTTTTTAATCTTCAAATATCATAATCTGAAAATATATCTCAAACACTGTATTAAAATCTAACACTTTAAACAATATCTTGGTCTCAATGAAATGAATGAAAAGTTGATGAAAAGAATTAATGAAATAAAATCTTGCCAAGATAGAAAAGAATAATGGAATTGGCAGAAAAGTATATATGAAAAGTATGTACTAATTTGGCTAATTATAATTATCAATGATATTGTGAAACTTATTATTAATTTTATTGCGAAAGAGTGATCATCTCGTCGCTGTGGCCTTTAATCATGTCTCAAATTTATATTTCATAACGTGTAGAATATGTATATTGTTTGATAATCTAAGTTCTTTTTGTCTTTTTCTCCTTTTTGTTATTTAGTATATTGATTATGATAATGATAAAGCTACTACGTGATTGCGTTAATGTTATTATTAATTGATAGATGAATAAAAATGACAGAGTGAAAGAATATTGTGTGTGCGGCCACACGTGCGTGTGTATAAAAAAAAGAGAGATTATGTTATGTGTGTATGTTGAAATAATATATATATATAAATATATATATATATATATATATATATATATATATTATATAAATATATATTTTTTACGTTTATCCAAAGAAAGAATAGAGGGTGAATTAAATAACAAAGTGAGCTTATTAAGGATATATGTCCATATAGTTATTATATATCAGATGTAACTAAAGTGCATCATACAAAATTCTTGCTATATTTTCCTTTACCAATTGCTAAACTCTTTTATAAATTCTCAGATTCTCTCAAAATTACATCAAAAAATGAACCAACAAAATTTAATGTCTAAATTATCAGATTCTTAAATCTTCGAATTTTTACAAATCCTGAATGAGATTTCAAATCTTTTTTAAATTTAAGTATTTTTAAATTTTTAATTTCAAGATTTCTATAGATACTTGGAATCTTAAATTCGCTAATTTCTATATTATTAAAATCCTATCTGAATTTCGCATTCCTAATTAGAAAGTTCTTAAACTACCAAAACATTTTGCACTTTAGTGATATCTTTTGTACGTATATCGCGACATCGAATTTTTCGGGGTAAATCCCCACATGTTCAAGCCGAGGGGTGCTAATATTCGCCAAGATTATGTAGGTAGTAGATGAAATGAGAAAGAGAGATTTTATAATGAAAAATATAACGAAACATTTATTGTGTCGCGACAACATTATAGCCAAGTATATACAGCATATACATACACATACATACATACATACATATATATATTTATATATATATATATATATATTATATATATATATATTTTATATTGACCGTTGTAATGTATTCGTAGTCGCACGCGATGACTAATGGTTCGCCTAAAGAGGGAAGGTAATTTGTGTACCGCTTGCGATATATACTTCGTGAAATTGTCGTAAACGTGTACTTCTTTCGCTGTGCGCACATTAATGATAATTAGCTACCAGCCTAACTTGGACAGAGAAATTCATAACGATGTATCATTATTATTCTGTGAGTTGAATAAATGTTTCACAACTATATATCTTGCGTGGAGAATTTTCCTTTTTTATTTTTTATCTTTCCAATGATCTAGAATAGAATATATCATTATTAGAGTTGGTTGTGAAGTTTTTATATTTTAAAACTATATATATTGTGTACATAAAATATATATAATTAAGGCTCTTCTGTTATAGCTATCTGAATGTCAGGATCTATATTTTATAAATTCCCCATCCCGAAATTTATTTTGTATTTTCAATTTTAATCTTCTTTATATCTAATATATTCATATTTTGCCTTTAATTCTCCACCAACCACCTTCTTGTTCCTGTAACACTTTTCTCTCTTTTTGTAACTTGTGAAGGTGTTGGTCTATGGTAAATACTGCGGCTGGCAATAGATTTTTCGGAATATCCTATAAAATGCAAAAAAATGTCATTTTATGTTGTTTCAGCTTAAAAATTAGCAATATGGAAAAAATATGTTCTTTTAAATTTTAATATTTATATTTACCTTGTATATCAGCTTGACAATATCTGCTATTGTCATTGGTTTATTATTTCCTTCTAGTATTCGCAGAATTTCATCTTCCCTCTGTTTCCTGTGATTGATGTAATACTGTATACGTGGCAATGGATCATCTAGAACTGGTCCATGTCCTGGATAAATCTTTTTAGGCTGCATCTCTAGGATCTTATCCAGTGATAGCATATAATCGTGGAGGTCCTCGAAGACTGATGTGCCTTCTCCGAGGATGCAATCGCCACTAAATAGGATATTCTCATCTTGCAATAGCAGACAGGCATGATCACTAGTATGTCCTGGTGTATATTTTACCTGGAGCTTCGCTCCTTCAACTTCCACCACTTGATTGTCCCTCAAAGGTTCCCATTGGATGGAATTCTCGTCATTTGATCTTTCTCGATCGTTTGACGATCGCGGCAATTTCCACACAGTAGGCTGGTTGTCCAAGGGAAAGAGGCTCTTTAGTAAGCTTCGCACAGGTTCCACTCCTCCAATATGATCATGATGCCAATGAGTAACCACCAAGTGCTCGATGGTCGCGTTTTCCTCGCGTAAAACATTATTTAGAAGTTTTATGTAGGCATCAGCTGTTTTGGTTTCCCCAGAATCAACCAGTACACGTCTGTAACAATGAATAGTTTGAAAGAAGATTAATTTGCTTTTATTGCGAGAACAATATTAAGTTTTAGTTTCTACATTAGATATTTCACTTATTCCTCTTCTGAATTAAAGAAAAATTTGTAAATAGGATTACAATAAACAGTTTTTTATAATAATTATTGAAAGCATATAAAGATTATTTATTACTGTAATTTTAATACTGTAAAGATACATATCAATTTTAATGGAAAGAATATCGATTTAAATTTGTCATTTATTTTTATCTTCTCAGTTTTTTAAATTTGGTTTGTATGTAATGGATAATTTACTGTCGATATTATTATAATTTATAATTATAATTCTTTAGTTTTTTAAATTTTATTAAAGTTGAGAAAAAGTATTTTTTATTGTTTACATTTCAGTTAAACAAAATTTTCATAACATGAGAACTAACTTAAAAAATCTTATACATATAAAATTTTACACATATTTCTTGATTTTTAATTTCTAATATAAAATACTGACAGTTTTAAGTGACATTATTTTACAACAAAATGTCCCATTTTACAAATTTCAGATAGAAAGGTCAAGTTTTTAATTTATTTCTTCAATTAACACAACTGACAGGTTTTCTAAAATATCGATATAGATTTCGAACTTTCAATATTAATTAATAAAAAACTTATTTCTCTTTTTTATTTATTAAATAACTCCCTGAAAATGTATCAACCACAGGAAATGTAACAAGAGTATTACAAGCATAATACTCGTTTATTATATGATACGTATGATTGACGATTTATCACCTATGACCTGTGCCTACGAGATAAGTATTGGTGCCTTGCAATGTCATCGGTCCAGGGTTGCATCCCAGAATCCGGATCACCTTGCTGGACAGCCTCACTATCGGTGGCAAATTCGTCAAGGTTGACATAGTCCCTTTGCTCGTTTCGTTCACTTGCGAGAGATTCGTCAGGAAGAGTAAAAGGAGCAAAGGCAGTACTATGAAATTCGATCCACGTATTCATGCATTATATACCTATTAGTGCTTAGTAATATCATGTATTTATCTCATCATGAGTTAGCAGATTTACCACAAGCATTAATTAAGCACTTTAGAATTGTGACATACATTCCAACTTATTTACGATTAATATTGCTTTTTACCTTTTTTTTCATGTCGCCTAATTATCGACGATCGATCAAGTCAACATCTATCCAAGGAAAATTTACCTACGGTTGTTTGACATTTTTATTCGACTGAATTACGCGAGCTTGAGATGGCGCTTCATGGTATTTATTTTGCTGCTGAAAAGTAGCGGTTCAACGCGCAAAAGCAAATTATGATACGATTGGATCGGGTGCTGATGTATAGATATTATATTTAAGATTTAATCTTATACGAATTGTATACACACGCTTCGAGACAATTGGAAAAGGCTGCAAGCGAGCAATCACTCGACGATCTCTTCGCAGGTTTTCCTTGCATTTTTCCGCTAAGATTCTTTGTTTCCCCTCTTCTCCATCTATCTCGTCTATAACGTTACTTTGTTTCAAAGTTTGTAGCGAAAAAAAGAGATGACGAGGGTGACAAGAACAGGCGCTCTTGCTTTCGTGCAGGACATCGCACTCGATACGCTTATAAAACGGTGAATGATGTAACTCGAGCTCCCACGTGTATCTACTACATATGTATATCGATAGCAGAATTCTGTGTCTGTATTGCAGTAGCAAAACAAACGAGTACACGCACGATTACGATACAACTACAAAGTACGTTAACATGGTATATAATTAGTACAATCTTATAATTAGCTATTTCATATTTTTTGAAATTATTTTAATATAATAATAATATAATATATAATTAATTATTATATAAATAATTAATATAAAATGTAATTAATTCATATAATTAATATAATTTTGCAATCTAGTATGTGTGTGTGGAAAAATAGATACAGAAAAATGTCACAACCCAATCAGTATCAAAATATTCCAGAGATATCTTAAAATATCCCAATGCTTCCAGGAATCCTTATAGAATATTTTGTAACTGGACCATTGAGATGAGAGTCCTTTATAAACGATGCTACTGAACAACTGAAGCTACTCAGCTGCATCAAACTTGAAAATAATTCAATGTAATCACATCATGTAATTGGTAATAATTAAATAGAGCGACGTTTCTCTTTCTCGATGAAGAACATAGCGCTACCAACGTGGACATCACCTTGGACTTTTTACGTTTGTTGTCGCATTATGTTTGTTATTGCAATGCGCTGGTTCGATTTTATCGCGTGTCACGTAAGTTTCGCCATGCTGACCTGTACAACACGCTAACGCGCTGCTTATCTATAGACCTTCATCGATTATGTATTCCCGTCGAGACGATCAGAAAAAAATCTCTTTGACGTACACGACGTCGTCAAGAGCTCGGCAGGTCATAAGCAGACAAACGGCGCGCCTAAAGACCGATAATAGTCCCAACGTGAATTATTTATTGCGACTCGTGTCAACAGAACCTCGACGAGATGCGCGTGATTTAAAAACCCTCCGTTCAAAGTCGATATTTCTGTCTCCATTAATAATTGACAAAACTATTATAAGTGGACCTCGCGACTGAGAAATATATATTATATATGATAATAATATATTACATTTTATTACAGAGAGAAAAGAGGAACACGTAGGGAACTTCTTTTACATCTATGATGTTGATTTTGATACTCAATCTTAAGGATCCTAATCGCCCGAGGTCGAAAAAACGGAAGTTTGGGATCGTAAGGATGATGCGATTTCGCACGTCGCCCGATTCCAAACATCCTCGGAACGAGATCAACGACATTATTGCGCATCGAAGTCTAGCAGATAACGACGTGGAGGAGGCCACGCGATCGACGATCACGAGCATGACAGCTGATTCGTGCGGGTGCCACGGAATCGTAATGATAACGCGAGATATTGCAGGGAACCAGAAATAAACAGCAATTTATTTTGGAATAAGCATATGGGGCTCGCCGACTCGCGACATTAAGTATAATCATTCTCGAAAAAGACGGCGTGTGTCCTTGGCTAAATAAGGCCACGGCAAAACAAAGGATGCATGAGAAAGGAAGAAAAGAAAAGTAAAAGCTCATACGCCAATGTCCTGTAATTAAATCTCCTGAGAAGAAAATATAGGGTAATGATAAATAATATTATAAAAATATTAATAAATCTAATAAAGTCGTACTATTGTAGAGAAATTTGATATTTAAAGATAAATATAAAGGATAATTATATTTTTTACAAAATTATTATCGCATAATTGTTATATATACATATATATGTAAACAATATATAATGTGTGAAAATAACATACAATATATTTTTACAATATAGGTCTCAGAATACACATGAGATCTACATAAAACGAGAAACGAAGAGAGAAATACAACATACCTGCGTATGAAGATGCAAAAAGAAACGAGACCCAGAGAAGAAGAAAGAAAAAAAATGAGTTTATAGCAGAGGACGAAGAGAGATGGATTCGTTGAAAAGAAGGAAAGAAAGAAAGAGACGGACCTGGGCGAAGGCCCGACGATGGATGTGCGATGCATGGAGGTGACGGAGAAGGAGAACGGAGGTTGTCGCGCGTGACGCTCGAGCTCGGAGCGCGCTGTGACGCCATGACGTATCGACCGCGTTCACCACGCGCGCTGACGTCACGATCACGGCCCGAGTCAGACTGGGAGCACGTGAACAGCACGCCCGCGATCACGCGGTCGCGGCCTGACCGGATTGCGCCGATTGGCCCGCCGTCGACGAGCCCCTCGTCGAGATTGGTCGCGCCCGCGCGTCCTGCGTGATCACGCACCCGCGGCGCGGGCGCGGGTCGGCTCGCGTTCCCCGAGCTAGCGCCGACCTGAGAAAGCTTCATTGCGCCGCGAGACGCCCGTCCGTTACGTACTGCGGAGACCTGGTCGCTCCACTTTTGCCAAAGAGGGCTCGGCGCTCGTTACGTGCTTTTCTTCTTTTCTTTCCTACTTTTCGAGCGGTGTATCCCGGTTGTTTTTTTCCCCTTTCTCTCGGCTCGTCCTCGTGCGGTTCCTCGCCCTGTTTTCGTGGACATGGACACGAACCAGGAGCCTCTCTCGCCGCCAGCCTCGCCCCAGCTGAAGCACGTAAGTGACAGCGAATTAAATATACCGCCAGAACACTGTCCGCCGTTGCCCGCGAAACTCAAACGTCTTCCACGAAGTAGCTCCTACGAGATATTTTTATTATTTATTATTAGTACATTATATTTTTGTATTATGTATGGTTGATAGTACGTGCAGCGAAATAATAAGTTCTTTTATCAGGGGTAGCAAGTTTTAAAATTAACAAATATCTCATTGCATATTTCTTAGAATTTTATTGACGTAATTTGTTTGAGTTTATTTTTCTTAATTTCGACGTTAATCGTTATATTTATCGTTTCTAATCTAAATTTAAATTTTATTGGAGTAAAATCTATTTCTTTCAATTAATTGAAAAATAGATTGACAATATAAATCAAAATGCCATGAAAAAAATATAAAAGCAGAGAAAATATAAAAAATATGTAAAATATGTAAAATATGTAAACTAAGATTCTTATGAATCATGTTGATGTTAAAAATTCCCATGGAGTCTGCGTGGAATTTTTTCTAATCCAAATATCTCTCGAGAACAAAGAATTGCTCATTTGTTTTACTCTTTAGTCACGTAGCTTTATTATGCATCAGAAGCAATAATCTTTCTCAAGTCCCTATTTAACTCGATTTATTTTGAGCTTCTTAATTTTATCCAATAGACAATTGCATGCATGATGAATCTTTTCTGCCAATTCCAAACTAACACTCTGCATCTCTTTGTCTTACAGATGGAACCGCTGCAATTATCGTTTAGTGTTGCAGCTCTTCTGGGGGAGAAACTTTCAGATGGGAAATCCGGGCGAAAGAGTGAGGAGGATGCGGGCTCCCACCCCCCATTGCCGCCCACCCCTCAACCTTCCGACTCGGAGGAGGATGAACCGCCCCGAAAACGGCGATGCGTCGAACAATGCGAGTTAGCGAAGGTAAATATAAAATAGATAGCCATATGTATCGTCGACAGAAAACTGCTTTGCTTTCCAATGTTTCTCCCTCCCGTCTCCTTTCGATTTCTCTTTTCGACTTAATCGACTGGAACAGAGAACTTGGAGTCGTGTTGCGATACGATTCCGTTTGAGCGCGCACCACTTGGTTCACTCCGCCTATTTATCCTTGGAGTAGGCGGATCTTCCAGTGATACCTTCGACAAGAGTGGATATATCGGTCTTCCACGATTTGCTGCAACCTGAATTGACAAATCGATAACGTTTTTTTTAAACAGATAACTTCAAATAATCTTTTTGATGTTGATTGATGCTATTTAATGAACTATATACTGATTGGCTCAAATTTTTCGAGAGATGGGCTAGCAGCTTTTTAAATACTCATATTGATATTTAAATATCTTTTTATAAATGATGTCAAGTTAAAATTGCTCATTGTTTTTGTTTTAGTTGCTGCTAGACGGCACGCCACCACCGAGCCCAGAACCGGCCCGGGTCTCGGTAATAATGCGCGCCAATCGGGACGGTACCTGTAGTCCGGCAAATCTTGCGGGGAGTTCGGCGATCAGCAGCCAACCGGTATCACGTGACTCGCTTGCGCGACAGTCGCCCAGTTCGCGAGCGAACGTGCGACCGAGCGCGACAGAGCCGGTGCAGGACGTGCTTCGCAGTTTAAAGTTCAAGATGAGTTTGCGTAAGGAGGAGATCATTGTCAACAGCAAGAATACTGACCGCGAGAGCTGTCAACAGCAGCAGCAGCAGCTGCCAAGATTGCAACCTCTGGCACCCAAACCAGCGCCTATAGTGGTAGCTGGTCTGTTGGGCTCACCTCTAGTTTTACCGCGAACACCTCTTCTGCTGGTCGCCAGCGCGGCGCCAACCACGGCTACCGCAACCACCACGACGATGAGCACAAGCGCGGTGGAGACGCGCCGTCGCGTTTACGAGTGCGAGCATCCGGGCTGCGGTAAGAACTATTTCAAGTCGTCGCATCTGAAGGCTCATACGCGCACTCACACGGGCGAACGACCGTTTCCGTGTCCCTACGAGGATTGCAGTCGTCGCTTTTCTCGTAGTGACGAGCTGTCGCGGCATAAACGTACACACACTGGCGAGAAGAAGTTTGCTTGCGTCGTTTGCCAGAGGCGATTCATGAGAAGCGATCATTTGGCGAAGCATGTGAAGCGTCACGCCAGAGATAAGACATCATCATCTTCTAACGGTCAGATTTCTGCCTCTCAGCCTTTGGCCTCGACGCCTCTGAGAGTGAGTCTGTTACCGGTGCTGGCACCACGACTAACGTCGCGAGCAGTTCAACAGTTTGTACCACCTCAGCTGGCAGCTTGAAGGATGCACTCACGACTATTTGAAATCGTCTGAAAATTATATTCTATGGTCTTCGTGCGTCTTAATCATTCGCTAAACTGCGAGTGAATGCTAAAGAAGACAACAATTAAAGCCTCCAATGGATGTTTTAATTAAAGTACAAAATTGTACCCACAGGATACGAAAGATGAAGACTGTTTTTTGCTGATAGAGCAATACTACATAATTGAAAGCACGAACATAACTCAGGGATTGATCTATTGGCATCATCTGGTCAACTGAAAAGATGTCTCTTATGAAGATATGTAAAATGAATATCTGTTGAACAAGAATGAAAAGCGAAGTGAGCCGTACTTAAAGTAAAGGCACGAGACGATAAGTCATTATGCAAAGGATTTTGCTGTCGTTCGCAAACCGAGTACCTAAGTGTGTCTGTGATCCATGACGCGTGAAGGCTAGTACTGTTTAGTTGAGAGAAATTTATTATCTCAGGAAACACTTGGGAAGTCAGGCTCATATTTCGCAACCTATGTTCACCGTTAAATGTGACCATATGTATGTTTGTAGTTAATACAATAAATGTGATTGCCGTGTTAAATAAATAAAATTCGTGGATATTAAGTAGAGTCACATTTAATGCTAAATATATGAAATATAAAAACGGATTTTTTTAATTTCCAAGTATCGTTTAAAACTCGATTCTTCGCTGGTCGGAGATTCTTTATAGACAATACAAAAGTCTAAAAGGCGCAGCATAAATATATCGAAAAGATATTTCGAATATATTTTCTCGAATAATACTTGCCTTTCGAACTTTTGTATTGTTTAACTTACTATTGAAAGTTGTTTTCGATAAATAAAATTCTGTATCAAGTACGTTGATCGAGAGATAGAAAAGATATTTATTTACGAAGAAACAAGACATTTTATATATATGACGATTATATATAGACTTTTAAAATAATCGTTGACACAACTATTATTATATGTATACATTGTAAGTATAAATAACACATAAAGACACTGAAAATGTGCAAAACCAGGAAGATCATTCGTTGATGAATTGAATTAATTTTTAAATATTACGATTATATAATTATTTTCTATCCTCTTGAGTTACTTGAAATGTTCTTTCCTCTTTCCAGAATTTATTTAATGTTTTGTACCGCTTCTACACAAAAGAGTAATTGTGTTGTAACTTGTAAGATATTCTAAGATTGCGAATGTATATATGTATATGTATCATATAACCAGGTAAATTTTACTTGGGGACATAAGACTGAAGATATAAGACTTCAGTGGAAATGTTAAAAATCATAAAGATTTTTCTACAATCAAATAAATTGTATACTTTCGTAAATCATTATGAATATATTATTGTCCCTTTTGTATTTTTCTTTTCCATTATAATTTTATATTTTCTTTTTGTAATTCTTTTCGTATTGATATCTAACTAATAGAAGAATTTTATTGATATATATTTTTCAAATATTAATTAATATGAGTAAAAGTTGCAACAAATAATCATCAATTTAACATTTTTTTCAAAATATAAATTTTCTCAAAGCTTATATTGTTATTCTAATTATGGAAAGAATCTAAAAATAAATTTAAAAACAGATGATTATGAAAGTCTAAGAGCATTTGAATTTTTCGGCGGACAGACAGGGAGATACGAACGTGAATTCTGTGGGGAAGATCGCGACTCAAGATGACTGATGATAACGAAAAAAAAGATTTTATGAACAAAAAATAAGCAACTACATTTGTATGGGTGTGGGATACCAAGAATCAATGACGTCACTATTGAAAGAAACGCGTGTAATTTATGGACATACGTAGTCATGTGAACACCAAATGTTTCCCTATGTCGAAAATACGCGTAATTCTTTCTTAAAATGGTCGTACTTGTTATGAGAATTTAGGAAATTGACGATTTATTAAAAATAGATTATTACTAACATTTGTTTATCGATAAGATACAATCGTTTAATCGTTTTTTCGCCAAAAGATTGGCTGATATTAAAACAATATTTGCACCGAAATTTCTCCTCATTATTCATTATCATTTTGCCATAGCTTTTCTTATCTGTTTGAATTTTTAATAAATGTTTTTTATTTATAATTCTATTTAATACCTTGTAAACTGCTAACAATATAAATTATGGATTATATTTTTAATAAATAGATAAGATAATATTTAAAATAGTAACATTTGCTGAAAATGATGAAATGTGTGTGCGTGTGTACCATTTTAATAGAGAATAAATTATCTAATTAATTTATTATATCTAACAATTATACATATATGTATTTTCTAACATTTTACATTGCGTGATATCTCTTTAATATTATATCACTTCTTCCGTGACGTCAGGCTTCCTCGACTCATGGTAGGTAAAAATATTATTAACGATAACCGAGAATATATATTTTTCATGCTCTGATGCAAATTTGTGACTTTAAGATTTAAAAATAGTTTATAATTATGAATAGTTTAATTATTAATATGAAAGATAAGAACATATACCTTATATTGAAATTCTCTCTATTCTATTAAATTTTAAAATGTTTTTGAGAACAGAAAAATATCGAATATTTGGATCGTAGAAACGCAAAAATAAAGCTACCTAAAAATCTCATGCATGCGATTAGCGTATATCTTCTCACCGAATATCTGCCAGACGTATGTTATCGAATGGCGAGACTTTTATCGTGTATCATCTAGACTAAACACCTTTCGAGACGATTCCTTATCAAAGATAATTATGAAACAAAGATGTTGTTTGATAATTTCGATGTTATTAGAGATATAAGCTAAATTATGGAAAATATAACGTGATAATACAGTCTTCAAGAGGCCGTTTCTAATCGGTTTCGATCTAGAATTTTCCTGGGTCCAGAGAACAAACAAAGACAATGTCGTCGCATACCAACAGTCTCTCTCATGAAATCTCCAATTTTCTTGCATCAGCCAAGGACTCGGTCACATTGAGTGACATTAATTTAACAAAAACAGGTGTGCTAGACTGGTAGATGATGCAAAATCTCCTCATGATTACACTTCTTTTGCGTTCACCTTTATTGAAATTTATTTTTTCTGCGAAATAGAAGAGAGTCTGCACATAAATAAATATATAAATTAAATTTATTTATTTAACTCCTACATAAAGATAAAACGCAAACACATTCTCGAAATCGTGAATATGCATAAAAATTTTTGAAAAAAATCAAAATTACAATAATTGAATTAATTCAATTTGCAATTTCTTTTTTACTTTTAATATTCAATGTTTCCAAGAGTGCAACATTTCTCGACTATTGCATCAAGCTAAATATTTCCATTTCAAGATTGTATTTACATGTAATTTTAAAGGATAATATTTATCATTCTGAATTGATTTATTAGTTTTTTTTGTGATACAAAAATCAATCATTATCAATCAAAATATTTATAAATCTATATAGCTGGAATATTGAAACTAGATAATTGCAAATTAATAGAAGAATTATAAAAGATCAAAATTTATGATTTTTATTTAATAATAAGAAACATTATTAGAAAATGAAAAATAGCTCACAAAAGCTGGAAAAGGTAGAATAAAATTTAATATAAACTTTTTATTTTTGATATATATTATGCAAAAATAAAAATGTACAATTGTTGTATATATGTGACTGCTTATAATTTATACAACGCGTATTATAAAAACACTATAAACGGCATTTGCGGTGTGTAACTCTCAATAATGATAAATGCGACTCTATCTACAATGTGTTTGCGAAAAGTCGTTGAACGAGTTGTGTAAATTTCAAGTCCAAAAATATACTTTACAAGTCGCAACAGTCTCTTTAGGCATTAACTCCTCCGATTCGATTTGTCGACGCGGAATCACATCGTGTTATAACTCACGTAAATGAAATCGTAAATACAGCCTAAATGCATTATTTTTATAATTTTTACAATTTTCTCCTAGAAATCTTAATTATTTCTTTCATTGAAACATATTGTGTACAAATATTTAAACTCGTAAATATTATTTCTATTAATAAAAGTTGATAGAAAATATACTAAAAATGTATCCAAATACTCTTTTTAAGGATTAAGAAATAAAAATATTTTTATAATTATTTTAGATGAAAAAAAATAGTACAAACGAGATATAACAGATGCAAATCCTAAATCGAGTTGCATGTGACAACAAGAAGTTAATCCTCACATCTTATTTTAAGATACTTATCTCATTCTGAAGCCAACTAGTACATAAGCTAGTTCAGCACTTGGAAGAATGTTAATCGACGCCATTGTAAATTCCTATAGATTTTTTATTTCGTGTGAAATTTTCGCGTAGAGTCGGCTGCCATATCAAGTAATAATTGACACGGTCTGAAACTCTCGCCGTAATGACTCTGGAATTCCTCCATTTTTTTGACGAATCGATGAGCACCATATGCGTCCACCCAACGGAATGGACCACCTGTAAAAGGCGGGAAGCCCAAGCCAAACACAGCTCCCACATTACCCTCCAACTGAAAAATACAAATATCGTTAATAAAATCAAGTATAGAATAGAATCAAGTATAAAAAATGTTATAATATTAATGTGCTATTTATACATTTGTGTTAGTAGTATGCAATGATAAGTAAATATATTGAGCCTGTGAATCTTTTATACTTTAATTTTAATGTATTAACTTACGGGATTAGCTAAAATATTTTCTTGCAAGCAAAGCACCGCTTCGTTGACGAATCGCGAGACCATCCTCAACTGACGGTCCTCATCGGATGTGCTACCTTTAGGCTCGAGTGTGTATTTCTTCAAAATATCTAACGCGCCGACATTTACTTCCCTGTTCTTAGAGTCGGCTTCATACACGAATATACCTTTCCCAGACTTACGTCCTAAAATTCATACGAATTTAGAATTTAGTATAATTAATTTATAATTCGTTGATTTTTCCATATATATTTAATAAATTATCATAATCGCATCCAGTAAATTCTTTCCACAATTAAAAAGGTGTTTCCTTTATACAGAATTAGACAATAGAATTCAGTTATATTGTAAAAAGTTTACCGAGAAAACCGGCTTTGACCATATCGCCAAGAATGTTCACATCTCCCCCTCTAAAACGTTCGCCGAAAGCTTTGTCAAGATCGGCGCTAATGTGAGCACCCACATCGATGCCGACTTCATCGGATAAAGTAGCCGCGCCGACAGGGAAACCGAATGCCTTTGTCAGCTTATCCAACTGCACTGGATCTACACCTTCCTGTTTATTACAAATTATAAATTATTCATAATTTGAGATTAGAACAATATAAGGATATAATATGTGTGTCCTAACATATCACATAGTTGTATCGATCGCGTTAATTAAAGATATTTAGATCTTTAAAATATATCGTTTTCGTTTCTCGCACGTGATTTCGATAAAAATATAATTATTACTGACAAGTGTCACTCACTTGCATTAATCTGATCGCTTCTGACAACATGGCAGAAAGTATTCTTGTAGTGTAGAATCCGGGACCATCACCGACTGTGATAACGATTTTGCCTTGCTTCAGACCGACATCCACAGCAGTTCTGATAGTTTCCTCGGATGTTCCTTTATGTGTTATAATTTCTAGCAATTGCATTTTGTCAACAGGAGAAAAATAATGCATGCCAATCACCTAAAGAACCGTGTCTTAAAGCTTATGTATTTATATATATAAGATAATTATACATTATAATTACATTAAAATTCACTATTATAATTAGACAAATTAAATAATAAATAATAATTATTATTAATAATTATTATTTATTTTTCCTATATTTAATTATAATTTAATTTTTCAAATTAAATATATAGATGTATTTACTTTATCAGGACGACTGCTACCAGCAGCTATCTTTGTGATGGGAATTGCAGATGTATTAGTCGCAATGACACAGTGCTGCGGCACTATAGATTCAATTTCCTTTAGGACTTTATGCTTGATGCCAATGTCTTCGAATACTGCTTCAATCACTACATCTACATCCTTGAAGGAGTTGTAGTTTAATGTCGCGTCGAGATGCGAGAGATATTTATCTTTTTCCACACTGTATTACAAAATTTTTATTAAAAAGATTTGTATTTTATGTGTAACTTTGTTTTTTAATAGGAAAGGCACCGAACCTGGAGATTCGTTTACGCTTCACAGCGCTGTCTAAGCCTTTCTGAATTTGACCTATGCCGCGATAGAGTCCAGATTGATTGGTATCCTTCATAATGACATCGTAACCCTTATCGATGCTGACCTGGACGATGCCCGCACCCATCAAGCCGGCGCCAATTACAGCAATTTTTCTATACAAAATAAATCGTAATGAATTATGCTGAAAAGAATATGTGTTAATTAAAATTGGGTAGCAAAAATTACTTTATGATTATTTTAGCAATCAATTAATAAAGTAATTATAATGACATTATTTAGATTATAATGATTAAACATAAATTACATTTTCAATCATTAATTTGTATCTGTATTTATATAATCATTAATTTGATTTCATCCATAATCATTTCATTTGTAAATTTATAAGAAGACGTACTTGGCTGCACTCTTGGCCGAACCGAAACGATTTTTTTTACAAGCTGTCTGACCAAAGAACAAGCTGGTAAGACCTTTACACTCCGGTGTAACTAATAGTTGGCCAAATCCCTTAGCTTCAGCTTCGAATCCGACGACTGGACCCTTATCTAAACCAGTTCTCACCACTTCTAAGATTTTAAGAGGAGCAGGATACAAACCACCCGTTGCTTTCATCACCTGAGCTTTTGCTCTCCCGAATATTTGATCCTTGACAAAGTTAAAAGATAGAACCTGTTGCGTTATCTTATCCACAAAAGACTTCGGACCACGCTCGACTTTTAACTTTCCGTTCGCAAGATCCTGTGCAGCTTTTACCGCGGTTTCTTCCAAATATCTCATTGTACTAAAAAAAAGCACAATTCGATTTTAATAATATAATTTCGATGGTATTAGCAGTATTTTTACTATAGAAAAAGACTTTATTTATCTTTCTATTAGAGGACAACGAGTATTTTCTAAAGTAGATTAAATATGAAATTACAAGAGCCAATTATTAATAATTATATGATCTAAAAAAACATAAAATATAAAATTATTCTTTTTAAAGAAATTAGCATAAAAGATTTAAAGTGCATTTGTATTAAAGTGTGTTATTTATATGTTTGTACTTTTCTTCAGGCGTTCCAACTCCTGGACCGAGACGATTCACCACGATATCCACTAGTCCGGATTTTTTCGCTCTATCAGCTGTAACTGTTTTACCAGTGAGTATCATGTCTAGAGCGGTGGGGAGAGAAATCAACTGAGACAAACGTTGAGTACCACCAGCACCAGGAAGAAGCCCAAGCATTATTTCTGGTAATCCTAACTTGGTCTGTTTATTATTAACAGCGAGTCTATAGTGACACGCTAACGCGACCTAACAGAAAATAATTAATTTAATGAATAATTCTCCTCTTTGTGTCTCTATGAAATTTTTATTTCATTTTTTATTTTATATTTTCATTTTAAATTCTCTTATTTTAATTATGAAAAATGTGTTACCTCCAATCCTCCACCGAGACATGAACCGTTAATAGCAGCAACAATCGGTTTTTTACTGTTTGCTACTATGTTCATAACTCTTTGAGCCTCTTTCACCAGTTGATAACCGCTTTCGGCATCCGAAAAAGTTTGTAACATAGAAATGTCTGCACCAGCTATAAAGTTGTTTTGTTTTCCGCTAATCAGAACTGCTGAGTTTACAAGTGGATTTGATTGAACTTCAGTCAGCAAACTTTCTACTTCCGCTATTACTTCCTTATTTAAGGTGTTTAACTGTATCAACAATAAGATAAAGATTTGTATTAAAATAACTTTCTTTTTTATTTTCTTTTGTGTTTTGATAAAGCGTGATATATTCTCATCTTATATTTTGACATAACTTATAGTTCAACATATTGCAACATAATATTTACAAGCAACATAAATATACGCATACATAGATATCCTATATAGATATTATAATTATATTGTGATAATAATGTTCTGTGCTGTATAAGATGGTACTATATATTACCTGGACTCCTGGTGAATCCATGGTAATGACTGCTACATCGTTCACAATTTTACATTTAAAATATTTTCTATTTGCCTCGGTTGTTAGTGTTCTTAGGGATTGGTGTAAACCTGAAAAAATATAATAGTAATTAAATGATGTAATAACTGTATAATAATTGTATGGTGAATAAGAAATATATATTATAATAAAAAATTTAAATTTATTTTGTATTAAAATAATATTCTTATATTAAAACAATTTTCTTTAAAACTTTTTAACTTTATTAATATATTTACTATCTAATTATCATCTCATATTCCTTTATAATAAGAATAGAATGTCTAATGCTTGCTGATTGTTTATCAATGCTTGCATTGATAAACAATCATACATATTCTATTCTTGATTCTATTCTTAGTTCTATTATATATTTTCATTATTTTATGGCAATAAAAGTGTATAAATGTCATTCAATATTAATTTACACAGATATAAAAACATAAGCATGCCATCAATAAGTCACATCCAATATAAATTTTGCTAAATGATATAATTGTTGAAAGTGTCATTTGTCCAGAGATGCATCTCTAATGTATATTTCATGTTATCTGTATTTATTCGATTTTTTTAAATAATTTAATTTATAGTGGTTTTGATCAAAATGAATTTAATATCTTCTGCTTTGCATTGGATGCATTTAAGACTTAAAATATATGAATATTTAACATATGCTTATTTTAAAAATTTAACTTGAAAATACACACACAAAATCCTACTTTTAGCAAGTCTAATTAAAAATATATACATATTTGTTATTAAATACAAACTGATAGAAATGGATGCAAATTATTTCAGTCTAAATACTATTAAATACTATTAATCTAATTTCAAGTTTGATATTATTTTTCTCAAGTTAAGATAGATTTTTATAAAATATTTCCTTTTAAATTATTCTATCTTTCTGCACATTTAAAAATTTCTTCTTTTGTTTCAAGAGTATACTTTTGCAGTGTAAAATATCAAGTTAAAAGGAATTTTTAAAAGAAAAAAAGAACAAAAGAAAAATTAAACTAATCTTTTTAATTATAAGTACTATATATATATATATATATATATATATATATATATATATATATATATATACTTTTATGCACATATTTTTATCTGTATTTATTTCATCTCAAGTACACAAAACATCGCTTGCAAGGAATGCTTTGTAAATTGTAAGGGAAAACTTGGCAAAGCTCATGTTATTTTTTCCACAGAACGTATGTTCGAAGTCCATGAGTCCAAAAAAACCTTGACACCTTGAAACCTTGAGACGATTAACGAAACCTTTAACGATTATTAATATCCTCAGAATAATATAATTTTAGATATCGCACTGTGTCAATATTCATAAATCTTGAATTAGTATTAATCATCAATCTCTCTCTCTCTCTCACCAACGTGAGAGCAAAGGTCGGTGATATTGAACCGGCGAATTTATCGGTGTCCACCGGTCACATACGAATACCAATATGCTACCAAGTGTCAAAAATTGAAGAATCCTTCATAACGTGAAATTTAGCGAACAATTCGAGCCTCAAACCGGTGTAAATCACATATCATCGCTCTCGATCTCTGTCTCTCTCTCTCAACTTCGGATTGTTGCCAACTAGAAGTATTCGAGATCGAGACTTTGACTCTGGCATTTTATACATTTTTTTCCCGGCTATCTCGAGATGAACTTTCAACGGGCGATCTCGCACGTACAAGATAAAATAACATAATACCACGAGATACATCATATTTACTCCTTCCTCCTTTTTTTCGGATAAGTCACGTACGCACCAAAGTTACACGTAATCAATCACCTGTGCATTTCAAAGCAAAATTCGCGTTGGCGCGGGAACAGCGCACGAGAGCGCCCAAGAGTCTGCAGTTCGCCATGTCTCTCGGTTGAGATTCGAATTTGGACGAATTCAATCAGCTGACTTTCATAGAGTGAAGGCAAAAATCGCGACTGATGCACGCGACACGACACTCACTACACGAGTGTGTCGCCTTAACTGGATGATCCCGTCCTACGACATGACTCCCATGTCCCACGTGGCTTTCGCGCGGGGAGAGAGTATCGAGAACATCGACCCTTGTACCCTCGAGACTCAATCGGTAAGGAATTTATCGCGAAACGCGCGGGAAAAACGATTTCCAGCGCGATTAATTAAATTATAATGGCACGTATATTCAGTTAAATTATGTATATCGGTTCGATGTTTTTGAGGCGAAAACTCTGTTTTTTTCCTTCAGCTGTTTTTTTTCCACGAATTGCCTTCTCGAAAAGATTTAAAGCAGATAAATTCGATATTCGATCGCTTATCGGCCGGAAGAATCGATACTCTCGAGCTCCATTAAGTATATTATTACGTCGAGGAAGCAACTTCTTGGACTTTGATCTTGACATCTTACACACTTATTTGTGTGACGTATTACAAATGCATGATGAATTAACGAAAATGTTTTGTTTTACATTATCGAGTCGCGTAGAATATTAATAAACAATTTTAACATATGTTTTCATTTGCTTAATTATACTGCGAATGACATCTTCATTATTATATGTTTATTTTAAGGAGAATTCGAAATAAATATTTTTGTAAACATTAATTAATTTCTCCTTGGTATATAAGAATATGATATATAAGAAAAAAATTAATAATTAATATTCTAATATATAGATATATATTAATATTCTAATATATTCCATAAATAATATTTTAATAGATAATTAATATTCTGAAGAGAGGAGAAATTAATTAATAGCTGATAAATAATATTCCCATCATCTTTGTGTGCGTACTTCATTGGGGAATTTAATTTCGTCGATTAATTCCATTCTTATCGGATATGATATAATAAATTATCTATAAATCAATTCGTTACCTTGTGATTCAATTTTATCTTCGATTCGACTGTCACACATTTTATGATATAAGAATATTATTTGAATCACAGTTTCCTGAAGATGTTTAGACAAGCTGTATTATAACACTTATCATTATGTCTACGCTAAAAACATTAAACTTGTATCGACAATATCATTATTGGTAATTTTCTTGATAACGTCACAAATTTATGAATGAATGAGATTTGTCATCGAGTCGCTCATCTGGAATACTCGACTCCTTATGCTTCAATGACTATAGTTACCAACGTAAACACTGCTTCTAAATCATGTGAGCGCCTTGTCATAATCGCTCGTGATCAAATACATGCGGGAATTGCCCGTTTTTTAACGGATAATCAGCTATTAACAGGAATTAAGAGTGCGTGATGTGCGTAACTCGTGTGGCATAAGTAACTAATGTGAATAATCTCACGCTAGCAGTCAATTTTCGCATCTGATTCGGATGTAATTAAACGCCTAATGTGTTTCACTTCATATCAATCTGCTCTCTCACACCAGATGTATTAATTTATCTAAAAACGACGTTATCGCGTTTCTTTGAGAAGGACAGAGAAAGAATATCTGATTTACGTCTGTCTAGTATAATTCAGCATCCTTATGGCAAAGAACTTCTCTTTGGCATCGGTTGTCGTGATCGATCAAAGGTAGGATCAAAGGACTCGAGGTTATACGTTTGAATAAGATGTTATGTTTCAATAATGACAGGATGTCTGACAACACTCATGCTAAGGAACAGTGGCAACTTCTACAAAGTCTACGATCTACTGCGGAAGGTCTGTTAATCGATGGAGTGTCCAATGTATGGGATGTTTATGGTGGCCTAAATCGACTGCATAATGTGATGGAGAAGATATTTAAACATGGCTGTCGCATATTTGATCCCAATGTTAGCTGCGTTTGTTAACTTTCAAAGCTACTATTGAAAATATTATCTATATTATATCTTCACATATTAGATTACAAAGATAGTTGATGTACAATAATTGTCTAATTACACAATGAATAATTTTATACAAATTATTCTTATAAAATGTTATATTTATGCATAATTGAGTTTGATATAAAATATTTTCTGATAAAAGTTTGATTATTATAAATATAATTGTAAATACACAATTTTCTTTGATTGTCTGAAAGGATTTTATTACAAGTTTCATAAAAATATTTTTATAAGGGCGAGCCAGACTGTTGGATATTCATTCAAGGATTGAATTGGCTTCAGCCCTCTTTAGCAACATCACCAGTGTTATCAGAAAATGAGGATTATTTAAGCCATTTACCAACTAGAATAACATCTAAAAAGGATATGTTGTGGCTATACAAAAGGTTAATCTTCTTTTTTTCTTTTTATATATTAATTATTCTTCAATCTTTTTGTTTCTCAAGGCAAATTGATTAAATTCTAATATATTTACAGTTTAGAAAGTCACTCTTTATCACACAAGTTATCATGGCTTCTCTCAGATAAGGAACATTTACTCTCTTGCTTGGAACCATGGGCCTTTCTCTGTCAAGAAAATATGGCAGAAGCAACACTTTTGTATTTACGAGCAGTTGAGAGAAATCAGCCTGTGCTGCTCGCAGAAATCGATCCCTGTTTAGTGAGTAATGTGTTGATGTTATTTCTAGAATCTGAAATTTTGAAATTGAAACATTTCTGAATTGAAATAAATTATTTAAATTGAAATGAGTTTCTCTAAATTTAATTTAGAAATTATTTCATTTTAAATAAATTTTAAATAAACAATAAATTTTAATTTTAAATAAATTTTAAATAAACAATGATGTTATAAGATATATTACATATTTCAATGAATTTAATCATTTCTGTATTTTTCTATTTGTGAATTTGCAGTTTCTGCCAACATGGATGTCGCCTAAAACAAGTCCCAGACGACATCGTCGCTCATCTTCATATCCAGTCAATCTTTCTGGTGCTAATTATATTTTTGCACGAGATAAGAGTGAAAGGAGTTTCAATAGATACGTGAAGGTTTCAATACAGTCTCGTTTGAATACTTCAATGCAGTCTGTGTCTCATAAAAGAGACAGTGTTGAAAGTCAGATATCGAAGCCTGTACAAATTATTACTGATGACAACGCGCAAAGTAATTCCAAAATCAATGATATACCTCTGAAAACGTGGAATAGTCTGCCTGCTTTGATTAAGAGTCAAAGTAATGTCCCAGTTGCCGTAGACAGTTCAACTGCGATTTCGCCAATTATTCAAGAAAGCAATGACAACAGTAACAAAAGTACCGATCATCCTCGTGCGATGCACTTAGCGGAGATCATCAATATCAATTATTCCGAGTCGAAGCAACCCGTCAATTCCAATACGGATAGGCTCATAGCAAAGCCCAAGACACCTATTAGGAAGACAAGAAACAGATTGAAGACCAAACATAGTCAAAATAAAAGAGTATCCGAAAATCTGGGAGTTTATTCGAACGTTCATGGAGAAGAAATCAAAAACACCATCGAAGAGACGCAGCCGGTTGTAACGACGGCAGAATTAGCAGAGAAGAGGTTCTTGAAGCAGTTGGCGATGCGTAGAAAGACGTCCTTCTTGGTAGGTTCGGCGCCTGAATTCACAAGTTCGTGGACTGTCGAAGTGGAAGGTCAAAAAGATATCCGTACGCCGCGGAAGAGCTTTATGGAGGACGGCGGCAGTAGCGTGCAGCCAATGGCAACTGGTTATTTTCCGCGTCCGGCAGAAGGCCAAAGTTTGACTAGTTTCCTATCCTCAGCACGGTTCTCGCGTGCCAACGATGCCGAGTTGGATCGCGAGAACGCGCATTTTAGCATCTGCGAGGCGATGATCGCCGCTATCGAGCAGGTCAAGTGCAATCGACTGCAACAGCTGGACGTCGACGCGGTTGATGATGAGAGCGATGAGGAAATCAACCGGCTCAAGCAACGGATTCGGCTGCGACGTCGGCAGCGCCAGGAAGAAAAATGTCGAAGTAAAGGTTGGAGTCGCGGTGATCTGTTGAGCGATGGTAGAACCGATACAACCACAACCACCGATCAGAGCGTCAGTCCATTGTCCACGTCTCCGGAAGATCCCTCGGACAGCGTGTCTACGGAAGATTCTGAACTGGACGATGAACGGAAATTGAGAAACGGCGACGCATTCGCGTCGACCACATCATTGTTTTCGGACATAGAATCGCGCCAGGCAAGGTTCGCTACAGAGTCGACTGTGAGCGAGAGCAGCATGTCTGCTGAAGGGGTGGCTTTATCTCTCATCAGTCGCTTCAACGAGAAGCAATTGCCTCGGGCTAGCGAGTTGCAGTGGCTGGTTTCCGAAAAGGATGCGCCTCAGAGATTGTTGCCGATGCCGAAGAGCTGGCCGGTCAGTCCCGACGAAATCGAGATCGAAGATACGCGGACGATACCGTTGAGAGGGACGATCGAATGGGCCCCACCGCGACCACAGATCATTTTCACGCCTCATCCACCGCCGGTGTAAGTGTATGCAACAAGAAAAAGATAATAATTTAAAAATTCTTTTTCCTTTTCTCATTCTATTTTAACTGAATATCTTGTATGAATTATATCAAGTGATAAGCGAAAAATATCATTTACACATCGAAATTGATTGATCTTATAAAAATAAAAATTTTATATAAAATCTCTTACGAATATATACAGATTCTATAAATAATACAAGTAATTTCTATTGATAGATAGGCATGTATGTGAATATTAATAATATTCTTCCTTCTCTTGAAAACTTTGAGATTTTTCTTAACTTCAATATACCTCGATCATTTTTCTTTCAGAAGACGAACGTTGATAGCGAAGCAGAATTACAGATGCGCAGGTTGCGGTATGAAAGTCGCCGTGAAATACGCCAATCGATTTCGATATTGCGAATATCTGGGCCGATACTTTTGCACGGGTTGCCACACGAACCAGGTAGCAGTTATCCCAGGGAAAATTCTATCGAAATGGGATTTCAATAGGTAAACTCTCCTTAAAAATTATTGATAAAGCGTCTTGATCTCTAATGTTTTTTAATTCTTTGCAGATATCCCGTGTCAAATTTCTCATATAGATTACTAGACCAGATGATGTCAGATCCGCTGTTCCAAGTGAACGATTTGAATCCGCTGTTGTATAGACGAATAAAACAATTGGACAAAACGCGAGTTTTGCGCACAAAATTATTCTTCTTGAAAGACTTTTTGTTCACATGTCGATTTGCGAGCAGGTAAGTTTCAAAATCTTTTTACAATACGAACACAGCATAATTCCGCGATGTTACAGTCTTCAAAATATGCTGAAGAAGGAGCCGGATTACATCATAAGCGATCCGCATGTATACTCAATTCAAGATTTAATAAACATCAAGTTTGGCGTGCTATACATCAAGCTGCAAGAACTCGTTCAAATTTGTTGTGCACATACTATGGAATGTGAGGTATTATAATATCAATATATTTTAATTAATATAATATCAATATATTATAATTATTATAATATCGCGATGTATTCTCTTTCAGCTGTGTCAAGCTAGAGGATTCGTATGCGAGTTATGCTGTTCCAAAGATGTTATATTTCCGTGGGATTTGTTGAAGGTGATTCGATGCGACAAATGTGGTGCGTGCTTCCATATGGATTGTAAGCAGGATTCTGGCAAGCTCGAGTGTCCTCGGTGTGTAAGGCTGCGCGCCAGACGCATTTCGAGGGACGAGAAGCCCTGACAAATGACAACATTCTTTGCCACGCCATTCAGAGTGGGATATGTATATTAACATTTCCACAGAATCATCTTCAAAAAATCTTAGAGATTTATTCTCTCATCTATCCCTCTTCTTTTATTGAGTCTTTTCAGACGATATAAAATTCTATATTATAGATATAGATGTTTTTTAGATGTCTATATTGTTTGAGATACTATTATTAATTACTATTATGTAAAATACATATGCAATATGTATACAAGAAATAAAAATTCTTGGATATACAATTTATTATAGCATAGAATATTTATGATAATTAATCAAACTTGAGTTTAATTCTGATTTCTGACACATTTTGATGTATGGAAATGTTACAGAAATTGTATATATATAGGTCATTTACATAGGATATTTACATTGCACAATTTAATAGTGATAGAGGGATTTATGAGAGAAAACCAATACTTGTTTCCTGTTACATTGCAGGGATATAATTGAGAATACTATTTGTGCCTCAGCTTTGAAAAAAAGAATATTGTATGAATGAGATGTATATTATAGCAAAGACTGAAGCATTGTGATATATTGCATGTTGGATTTTGATCTTTTTGTAACCTGGAAAAATAACTTTAAAAAAGAAATGTTCACAGAGGATGTCTTTAATTTTTTTTTCCTTTTTTTTTTTTGAGGAAACCAATACCTCAGAAGATCGATTTATTTCTTAGAATTAAGAAGTAAATTAAGTAACTTATTAAACAATATACAAACAACAATGTAACTTGACACATTTTTCAATTTAAAAAGATACAATATCATACTTAACGTAAAAAAATTTATAAAAAATTGCAAAAATTTTCTATAAAATAATTAGTTTTGTGTATGTATTTAAATAACCTGTTACTAAATATTTACGATAGTTCTTTTCTATAGTGTTAAAAGGAGAAATATTTTTAAGAGATTTGTACATATTTATTTACAGACATAATGAGCATTTGTTGAACAAAAAATATTATTATAATTAGATATATTGTACTAACAAAAAAGAATCTCAAGTTGCGATAGTAATTTTAAATCTGCAAATATTGTTTATTAGTACAAATAGAGTAATATTATTATCTTATTATATGAAAATTGCGTATCTAGTGTTAATTCCAAGTAATAATTATGTACCTGATTTTTTCTGACATTTAAAATATTTATATTTATTGTTTATTTATGAAAATTGTTAACACATGCATATGCAAACTAATAAGATTTTCAAAATTGTATTATATTCTTCTGCGTGACATACAATCTCTATTATAATTCTTGATATAATAATTCTGAATAAAAGATTTATAAAAAAAATATATAAAGTAATACAAATAAATACAAATAAAATTATTAGATTCGAATATATATATATATATATATATATATATATATATATATATATATATATAGAAAAAAAATCATAAACAGTTTGAATTAGAAATCTATTTGCAAATCTATTGCGATATCTTTATATGATAGTTTCAAAAAAACTAATTTACGTATTTCTCGTAGGATATATTCGTATGTAAAACATTACATTTAATGTTTATTTCTCAGAAAATAATTCCATTGTATATTTGTATTAATGATTGAATAGACTTGGAAATATTTCTGAAAATTATTTTAAAAAACATTCCTAAAATTTATTCAACATATAGTTGTAAAAATGACCAATAATCATTTTATTTGATTACATGTAAATTAGGGAAGATAGAAAGAGAGAAAAAGAAAGATTGCTTTTATTTGAAATAATTTGCAATAAAATAATACAATTAATAAATTTTCATGATTTTATTCAGTTATATGTGTTTATAGTACACATCTACCTGAGGATAATAGATATAGTAGAGGTTCATTGTGACGATAGAAAAATATATTATTAATTATATATATATACATTAGCCTAATTTAGATCCACTTCTGCGATTCGTAGTGTATGTGATGTATATGTTTATTACATAAATTTGTTTATCAAATTTGTCCTAATTTAATTATGGATATATACATATGCAGATGTAAATCTACGATCAAATGTATGTACAGTAGATAATATGTAATTTTACTTGTGTTTACGTTTTTGAGGTAAGAATTTACCGAGGATTAGTCACTTTGAAAATATGTATTATATATTCTATTCTTTGCTAAAAGCAGAGTCGTATATAAATACTGTACACAATTACTGAGTATATATACGGGGTAGCCATAAAATTCCTTATTTTTTTCACACAAATTAGTTATTATCAAATATGCTACATATGCATATTCATATTTTTCATTTTTTTTATTTTTATAATTTTTGTTCAATGAAAAATTAAAAAAATGTCACACATATAGAGAATCTGGTGATAGACCATCTTCTGTAAACATAATATATTTTAATCTAGCAAGTCATATATTATGATAACATTGAATATATATATATTTTTAATATTTTATTTTTTATATATTAAAGATTAACTTTATATTAATATATATATATATATATATATATATATATATATATTAATTAATATTTTGTTTCACACTTTTTTTAAGCAATTGATAAATAAATTATATTAATTATATAAATAGATTATATTGTTAACATCCCAAATTACAAATTTATATTCATTTTTATATCAAGTTTTTCAATTTCACACTATAAGTAATAGAATTTCGTGGCCACCCTGTATTAAAAAAGAATACTTGACATTTTTAGTTTTAACTTGGTGACATTATAAGTGAGCATTCTTATATAGGTGATCCTTTTCATTTTTTTTGACAATTGTCTTGAATATTTTTGTTCAGGAAAAAGTACCATGTTAGCAGCACTATTATACGTGCTATTATATGAATTGCGTTTTGAAAGATCTTATTCGCCTATCTATCTATAATGCGAATTACATCTTTTGTTAATTATTAATCACATTTAGTTTTGGCACGCAAACGTTGCAGAATGAGCGTTTTTTTAAAGAATTTTTTAAGGGAGAAGAAAAATCTTACTTCGCTAAATATGCGAGAAAAGAGCTTAAAATCGCACTAGATTATAACATATATATATAGCTAATTTAGATTATTGAATAAACTTATATCTCAATAAGATATCAGCCATATGATTTCCTCAATTGAAAGAATCTCACATTATATGCGAGATACAAATTTTGGCTCGCTATCAGAAATTCGATTTTTTCAACATAAGCTTCATCAATTTATATAAAGTCGAATCATCACGTTTTTCCTCGACGAGACCGAAAGCTTCTTTATTTTTGATTTTTTTCTTCAACGTCCACTTATATTAAAAGTTTGATTGTCGAATAGGCTGATGAAAATGATTGAAGAAAAAATCAAAAATAAAGAAGTTAATAGAAAAATACAGAAAATCGACTGTAAAGTGCAACAACGATACATAACAATGCGCCATACTATTTATACGATAGAATTTTGAGTAAAAAGTACTGCACGATTATTTGTTCCGAGCGTAATCGCATTTATATTGTTGATCAGCAGTCGGTGGTATTGTCAAATTTATGAAAATATTTTTGAAAAAAAACATCAAAGAATTAAAATTAATTATAGATAGAAGAGGAGAGAAAAAGGAGAGGGGAGGGGGGAGAGAGAGAGAGAGAGAGAGAGAGAGAGAGAGAGAGAGAGAGAGAGAGAGAGAAAAGAGAGAAGAGAAAGTTTGAAGAAAGATTGAAAAGTAATGCATATGATCGAATGTCTCGGGGGTGATACAAGAAACCCGAAAAAAAAAATTAGATATTCGGTTATTCTTCACAGATATACTAAATATGATTTTGCTTGCCATTCAATGGTTTTCTGGCATCATGATTAAGTTAATTAGAGATTATTAAAATAGTATGTTATTTAAATTCAAAACATAGTAATATATGTTGTTCAATACGTATATTATAAGGTCGATTGCTCCGAAATTAGACTAATATTGCAATGGAAAGTCAATTCCTAAGTAAAAAGCATAAAATTCAAGTAAAGACATATAAAGCCGCACGATTTATATTTCTCTTATCAATTTAAGAAAAATCTTTTTTTTATGTATAGCAAAATTAGATGATATGAAAAAGTTTATTTTCCATTGAGAATAATGTATTAATTATTATAGAGGAAAGGACGATTATATATAAAATTAAATTTTATTTCTTAATTTCTACTTTTTAAAATACATCTTTCCGTTCTCGACAAATTTGATCGTGCGCATTACTTCCCATTCCCTTTGTACATTGAAAATTCGGCGTCACAAATCTAGATTGATTTGAAAATTTACCTCGCAAGATGTAAAAGCATGGCGCTAAAATAAATTTTTTAATATAAAAAAAAAAGGAAAAAAATAGTAAAATAACTTACAAATATTGAGATTATAAAGTATAGATTATACGCGTCATATATAAATAATAATAATAATAATAAAATAATATAATAATAAAAATATAAAACTTTTGATATAAATTTTATCGTGATAACATTTTTGAAATGTGTTCTCGATGCATTCTCGTCTGTTTTATGTACTATAATGTAGAGAATGTCAAATTTTTAAAACATAAAAATTATATCAAAAGTTTTATATTTTTTATTATTGTACTATTTTATTATTTATAGAATATAGCTATTCGCATGCTAATGACCATTCCAATTGCCTATATTTGGATCAACTCAATAACAATTAGTCTTAGCGACTAGTCTTTGTCTTTTGTCTCGACTTTATCAAATGTCATCTGTCTGTACTTATCGAATATCGAATTTTAGACAATTGTTTTTATTTTATAAGTTAATTTCGATCGCTTTCTTTTTAAAATTTTATTTACCTATATATCTAAAGTTTCTTTTAGTGGCAGCTTTGCTACTTCGAAGAAAATCCTAGAATGTAGAGAAATTGAAATATATTTTGTAAATTACAAAAAACAAATATCAATTTGTGAATATCTTTACTCAAATTAATACTTACTTATGGCTGTATTTGTTGCGAACCGTCATTAAAGTATCCTTATGTTTTTTATGCAGACACTGATTCAAAAGATTGCAAATATCTCTTATGTCGTCAAGTTTATAACCACTATAGTATTCTAATGTTGGAGTCCATCCTCCCAGGTCCTTCATTAGTAATGCTAGTAACAGTGCCGCTGCTGCGACTTTGCTATCACTGAACGTGATCATCGAGTAATCCATCAACGAATATTCCAATATATATCGAGCCAAAGTTAACGTTGGCATAGACACCTTGGCACACTATTTTCGAATAATAGTGATTAAATTAATATACATTTGCCAATGAAGTCAAATATAAATATTCCATAAAAGATTATGATTGAATGAAAATAAGAAAAATCTAATTTAAATTAAAAAATGCAATTTCATGATTTGATATCAAAATAACACTTTTATTAGTTTTATTTATAATTGAGTATGTATATAAGATTCACAAGCTATTACATTTGTATAAGTATGTTAAAGCAAAAAAATTTAGATTACAATTAGGTGAGAAATTGAATTCTGGATTATCTTATTAAATCTGGACCATCAAGTGTCTGTTTGTACCATTAAGTCTAATTATATCCAGACCCACTTGTATACATTACTCTTTTCTCATTAAAAAAAAAAAAAAAAAAAAAAAAAAAAAAAAAAAAAAAAAAAAAAGTTTACAATGTGAAAAAAATATATATATAAAATATACAATTTGATATATTTATTTTGAATATATTTGAAGTAGAATTCTAATGTATTCTGAAGTAAAATAATAAATCTTTACAAGGAACAATTTCTGCATGAATTGTATGTATATGTGATACTAAATAAATATTTCTTACTCTGGCATAACGCCGAAGAAATCTGTAAGAAAGAGGTATTCCCAGATCAAAATTGACTACTCTTAAGACATTTGCTTCCATCCTGATGAGTTCTCTCTGTGTATAAGCGCCATCACATATGTACAAAAAATCTTCTACCATTGGTGGTATCCTTTCCTAAAATAAAAATTAAGAACATATATTGTTAAAGAGTATAATTTCATTAGATAAAAATATTCGTGATTTTACAATGAAAATGTGTTCATAAACTTACATCAAATTTACTTGCTATGAAAAGACTCGCAGCGCCGAGTAACTGCAAAGTTTCCTTGCCAACCGTCACCTTTGTCAGGTAGAGATCGACCAATTTCACGGCCAAATAGAGAGTCTCGTGATTAAGTTCAAACGATTCTTGCACTTCGACCATCCAGTCGATCAGCAGTGCTCTCATCCATCGAGACAGGCATACTTGTCGCTCCATATAATCAGCAATACGAAATAAATGCTCTCGTTCTTTTAAATATTCAAAAATGTCCATTGCATATTGCGATACTTGGAATGGATCTAGCCAATTTTCGACATCAAAGTCCCATTGTACGTCTTTGGGTAGTTCTCTTGCAGGTACGGTGATTAAATCAATAGCTAATGCTTTTTTCTTGTTCATAGAAGGCATAGGTTCACTAATTTCATTCTTTTCGATTTCTTTCTCGTTTTCATCAATCTATTTCAAGTATACATATATACTTTATAATTTTAATAATTATGAATATTATATAAATTATATTACTATACGAAGACTACAATATAAATTTTTCACATGTTTAATTTAATTACATGATTGAGAAAAACATAGAATTTTAGACACAGAACTTAATTCTTAAGCTTTGTTATTTAATTTCTGAAATTTCAAAACATTTTATATTACAAATTAAGAAAAAAATTATAGAAGCTTTAGTTTCCAAATTTCTGCTATGCCTATGAATCAAATGAAAAAGGGAAAATGTCATAGTTATGAAATATTGCATACAAATATATTATGAAGATTATTAATCACCTTAGTGCTGCTTTTACGAGTTTTCTTTAGGCTATCCGTAACATCTTCCAAAGCACTAATATATAGTGAATTGTCTTCTGACTTCTCCAGATCTGTGCTATGTCTATTTATGACTTTGTTGGAAATTTCCGTTTTATCGTCTTTTTTAATAATGGGTTTAACACGAGGCAATGGTTTCGATTTCACTGGTATAACTTTTGCAATATTAATATCTGCAGGCTTGTCTACTACAATTGGTTTTACGTGAGTAACCATTTTTTTTGTTAGATGATTTTGTCCTCCCAATGATGTAATAGCCTATACAAATAATAAAAAAAGGAACAAAGAATAATATAACGATAAAAATATATACACTATATATAAAAATAATAATACAAGAATGTTATGATATAAAAATACAGTAATATACTACATATATATTTGCATCTAATAATATAATAATTATAGTACATTATAGTACATACATTAGTAATATTTGTAAAGGCAGATCTCTTGACTGTCTTTTCTTTAGGTGGTGATGCTTCTGCCTTCCGCTTACGAGTATCTCTGCTGACAGATTGTTTTACTACATTATTTAATAAAGCATTTTGACTCCTGGTTGTCACTCCTTTTCTTAGAGTTGTAGTGCTGTTTTGTCTATTCTGTCCAAGTAATACTTTTGGAGGTGCCATTTTTGTATGGGATAAAACTTTGGTACTTCTATTCCTTGCCTAATTCCTATTATTCAAAATTTTATAATTTATTTATATATAGCATTGAAGAATATAATTTCTTTGTATTTAATATTTTTACTAGATTAATATAAGATTTAATATTTCTACTAAGATAAAATTTTATTAAGTTTCATATTCAAGTGTCTTTAAACACATTGGTTTTAAAAGTATTTAACTGGATTTTATTAAGGTATTATATGCATATACATATTTGTTTATTAATTAAAATAATTCTGTTCCGTATATATTGCACTAAAATTGATATTTGTATACATTTTTGATCAAGCACAATGGATTATAAATTAATTAAAAAATTTATTACTAAGAAATAATTTAAAAGAGATTAGAAATATTTTTTATTTCCAAACCATCGACGTGATTCCCGATATGGATAAAACAAAGAAAAAAAATGTACAAACTCTTTTATACACAGAAATTATTCGTATGTCCAACACACATTCTCCTCGACAAATTGTATCGAAAATGTATCGAAAAAAGACATAAAACCGCGTTATTTTCCAATAACTTAATCGCTTTCTCGAGTACATGCAAAGCATGTACGGGGATTCGAATTTGTGGAAACCGTAGAGGCAAGAAAAACGCGGGAACTCTCCAGATCCACGGAAACTCGTACAATCGTTCTATCACTTTTATTAGTCTCTCGAGTCAAGGACGATGCTAAAATCTATCGTTTCAGCGAACATGCAGAGCGTTACCAGTGATGTTGATACACGAAGGTCGTTAGCAAAATATTTATCAGACGTTGTCTTAGCAATATGGAGGAGAGACCGCGTCCGTTTCGCACCGAATCGGATACACAATGTGCGGTCGACTATCCACGTGTACCTGCGTGAGCCTCGTGTTAGGTACAGACGGCCGGGGTCCTTGCCTTTTAACGTCCTAGCATCACCGCGTGCGCGCTTCTCGCACTCGTCCCTCACCGTACATGCGTCTCGTTCAGCGTCGTCAAATCACCTCCCTCATCCGTCTTGTGTCGTTGACATTCAAAAACTCACCGGTTACGGCCGGTCAGCCAATCGTGACACCGACGTCGCGCGCAACATCTCGCGGCGATGTGCGGGATGTCTCGTTGCAGGCTCTGAGGGATGTTACCTACGATCGATATGTACGGTACTCTTCAAATATCCACGTACGTCTTTATTTTTCTTCAAAATATCAAACATTTCGTGCCAATTGCATTTTTTATCGTATATTACTTGCATGTATTTGATTCTTGTCATTTATAAGATTGTTTACATTGATTCCATAGAGTTTGTATCAAATCAAGTCCAATTTTTCAATTAATCCTTAGTCTCTTTTCATTAAATATGTATCGAGTTTCATTCTACTTTATTATAGTAATTTATATTTATCCATCATATTCGACCTTCCAAAATGTATAAATTATAGGTTCAATCGAAAATGGAATATTCTCAGTCGCTTGTATAGAAATTACAGTAACTACCTAGGACAAAGTTCATTGGGTTTTCTCATCAGGAAAGCCAACTCATCGTCGCTGAAAACCACGCCGTGTGTTTACAGTAATTCATGATCGTGTCGCTCGCACCTTCGAGATGCAACGCGAACGTTTCGTCGTGAAATATATTACGGCAAACAGCTGTTTCGCGTACTTGTCTGCTGTCTGGCTACGCTGTTTGGAGGCTGAGGTTAGTTCCCATTTTTTTTCTTTACGTAACGCATCTTTGACGTAAACATCACGTGACGATGTCACGTGACTGAGGATAGCACCATCTGTAAGTAAAACGATGAACTCGATGGTTAGTAAGCAAAATGAACTTGATCAATGATCAGCGCGAGCTTCAACGATGAAAGCTTCGAAAAAGTATTTTTTCCTTTAAAAACACATAAGGTATACTAAATTGCTATTTATCTAATATTTTTTAAGCATTAACAGATGTCAATGGTATAAAATATAATATAATATATAAAATATATATATATTTTTCCTTTTATTTATGATTATCAAATAGTTCTAAAAAACTCTTCATCTTCTACAAAATTTAAATTTGATGTCAATTGCCTGTTTATGTATATAAAAGTTAGTACAATAAAAAAAACAAAATAATGATATATAAATTTTTACACAGATCATTATTCCTCAGATTTCTTAAAAGCAATTATAATAAATTATATGATTTATTATTTATTATAATAATTGATGATTGTAACAATTTATGATTCATTATTAATTATAACAAATATATGACAATTTGATAAATAATTACAGGAAAATGCAATAGAAATATCACACAAAGGGAAGCTGTATTATCTTTCTTGCATTCCTCGCGCTAATAACGACGAGACATTATGTATCGGAGCGACATTCGCGAGAAGTCTGAACATTCAAGAGGGAGACGAAGTACTCGTGTCATCTGTGAAAAATGTACCTTCGTTAAGTAGCATTAAAATCGCTCCTCGCACGACGAACGATCGCGAGCTTCTGGTATGAAAATATTCGTCACATGCACCGATTTATCTGACTGACGAGTTAATTAATCGATTATCTTTACATTTGGCGAAATAGGAATTGCAAATGGAAAGGGTGCAATCGAATCTCTTGAGTCAAGTGAGGATCGTCGCGAAAGGACAGCCGATTGTGGCGTGGATCTCAAAGTTCTCTTCCGTCACTTTTATTGTGGGCAAGTTTGTTTCTTTATAAAATTATTTAAGGACATTTGAGGAGAAATTATTACTCTAGATTATAAATATAATTTATATCATTTTTTAAATAATTTTAACTTTGTTTTTAGTATAAAGAATAATTTATACAGATCCTTTGAATGAATTTTGTAATAATTTATCGATCATCAACTTCTGATATTATTAATAACATCAAATCGGTAATCGATAAATTATTATAAAATCAATCTGAAGAATCTGTAAACGATTCTGTGCAATTCTTTTATAGAAGATTCGGAGCCGAAATTTGCATATGGATCGCTCCAGCAATTCACGGAAGTGCATGTACTTGATGCAATCCCGAATGCAACGATAAAGAATACAGAGGAAGTCGCCCACAAGATAGGCAGTAATCCTTTGGCCAAAATTATACCTTATTTTTACAAAGGAAAGGATCATCATGACACGAGAGACAATGCTGCGAATTATGCATTGTTGCAAAGTTTCCGCAAAAAGATCGCACCTCGCGCATTTCGCGTTTATTCTCTGCCAGAGTTCCGGTCTTTTGATCACTCGAATGCTTACGATATGATCCTGCGATGTCCCTCTAATGTCCTGATTCCAAGGAGTCATTTGCCGAAAAATGTGAAACCGACGAATGGAATAATTATGTGTAAATTTTTATCAATAGTTATATAGTCATAAAATAATTTTTTATAGTACATTTTAACTGTAATTTAATTTTATAATTTAATTAATTCATTAATATTATATTTGTCGTAAAGAATTTAGAGAAACTAAATAAATTTATTCGCAGGTAAAATCAGAAAAGTATTGGAAGACAGGCAGCAAGTCACAAATAACGTCACAAATTTTTTGAAGGATGGCGGTCCTTCTCTATTTCCGAAATCTCCGCAAGAACTTGTGGCAAGAATTTATGTTCTCGAAGACGTTTTAGAAAAGTGCTCCGCGTCATTAGACAGGAAGTATTTCGACCTGAATTCGATTCACTTTTGCGCGTATCTATCGGAAAGTTCGAGGATCACTCTAAAATTGAAAGTGGGAAGTAGAGTGATGGTACAGATGATCGAGGAGGCTGATCGACCCGGAGACTTGCAGCCATCATCGGTGGATATTTTTCCTTCCAATCAATCGGTGACAGCGGAAGTTTTCGAAAATTACGTGAAATTCCATTCGAGACACGAGGCATTGTTATTCAATTCGTGCTCGACAATTTTACTCGATGATGGCAGACGATGCATCGTGCGAATGTCACCCGAGAATTGCAATTACGTAACATTAGACGAAAAAAATATGAAAAAATTAGTAGTTCATGTTCGGTCTATGTTGAGTTCGAACGATGCGGAAATCTCGGAAAATTGTACCGAGGAAAGATTGAACCTGAAGAAAATATCCACGAGGTAATTATGTGCAAGAGCACTTAGCTGTTATTGATGGCTTAACAATAATATTAGTTTTTATATTGGATCGCGTTGTAAACTTATAATTATACACATAAATCGAATCTTCATGTCAAACTTTTATATTGCATTACATTCCAATGAAAATTTGCAGATTTATAAAAGGCATCCTTGAAGATTGCGAGATCGCGCTCGATCTCAGTTTGCGTCTGCGAAGATCAATGGATTTCCGGTATGATCAGGAGAATATTTTGATCTGCGGCGATCTAGGTTCCGGCAAAACGACAATCTGCAAAATGCTAATCGAGCGTTATCGCGATGCACCGTGTTTCGCGCACACGCACATGATTGATTGCAGGTCGCTGAAAGGTAATAGTGCGATGGCATTTTTGCGCAATTAAAGCAATCGACTGCAATATGGCGACGTATTTTAATTCAAATAGTTATTTTTTTTCGACAATATATAGAAAAATCTCTTCGACGATCCTCTTTTTGAATTTTAATAAGTTGTGATAAAAGCCAAACTAATTCGCATTCATATTATGATATAATCACATATTTCCATTATTATTATTTACAAGTACAAAAATTTATTACATTTTATATATTTAATTTAAAAATTTTTATATTGGTATATCTATAATCTGAATTAGAATAATTTAAAGAAAAATTTAGTAAATGTGATTGAAAAATGCACAATTTTATAAGTTTAATTTTGTCATATTAATGCTTTGAATCTTATAGTATTTACTAATAATTATTAATTAGAAAATAATTATTAATTATAGGAAAGAAGGTAGAGACATTGCAGAAAATCATTGTGTCCGCCATGAATGAATGCGTGTATTATCAACCATCCATACTGTTTTTGGACGATTTGGAGAGTATTACCAATGCGTCATTAAACGACGAGGAAAATACAATAGACGCGACAAATGCATCCAGGTAAATGGAACCATATTTATCCGCCATTAATTTAAGCCGAATAATTATTAGTCTAGACAAAAGAGGAGGAGGGGGATTAATTACATATTGCTGTGTATTATTTTGAAAAATATTCTTCTATTTTTCAAAACATTATTTTTTGCGAAAATTTATTCTATAACGTGATGATCCCTCGATTAATTCTGATCTTAAATTAATTTTAGAATCACCGATATGCTGTTTAATATTGTCACGCAATATCAAGAATCTCATTACATTTCGATCGTCGCTACTTGCATCAGCGTGAGCAGGATCGGCTCGAAATTACGACCGGCGAGAGGAGTGCAATTCTTTAGGACGGTCTTGCAGATTCCTAATCTTGAGAAGGTACAATCAATCGAACTTATTTCGAAACGTTAATATATGTGACATGGAAAATTGCGATTTTTTTTATTCACACATAGAATGCGATTTTTCTTATTCACACATAGAATGAAAATTTAAAAATTCCATATACACCTATGAAAAAACGTTCATTATTCAAATAATGTAAAATTTTATTTTCAAATCATGTTATCTTCAAATAATTAATTTAATTATAATTGATTTAATATCAATACGAAATAATTGATTTAATTGGAGGATTTATTCGAAGAAAAAAGGGATGGAGAAAATATAAAATTAATTAATTTTATGATGCAATTTATCTTTGAACTTTTTCGCGATATTTTCGACTTTATTGATGCACTTTTCGATTAATTTCATACTTCCACACCTCCTTAATCAAGTTTTCTTGTTGTCGTGTTGTAAATTATGATATCTGCTCGTTGATTTCTGCCTATCACTAACTCGTGTCGTGACTAACCAGGTGGATAGAATCGATATTTTGCGATTAACACTCGAGGACAAGTTGTGCGTGCCCGGAGACATGAATTGGAATTACTATGGAAACAAGACCGAGGGCTGGATGCCTCAGGATCTTGTCGATTTAACAGAGAAGGCGAGATTCGTCGCATGGAAGCGTCACGGTAACGAGAGCAATCATAAAAATATTAATAAAAATTGCAAATTTTTTAGTAAAAAATCAGAAAATAAAAAATATTAGTATTAGCAACAGAAGCAACGATGTAATATTTAATAATAATGATAATTAATATTTTCATCTTTGTTTCAAATTGTGAGAAAAATCGAAATTAGATATAATTAAATTAAATATACATTACCAAGAAATTATTATGCTTTCTTTATAAGTGTATCATCTATTTCTAATTCTTGTCAGTTATCATGTCTGTAGTAGTTCTTTTAATCACAGCCTAAATTATAATATTTTATACATAATTATAATCTTGTAAAACGTATCAGTTTTACGGAGACGTTTACATACGTTATTTTCCTAAGCGACATTTTTCCAGGCGAATCAAAACCACCGATTATCGTGACGGAAGAAGACGTGTATAGCGCGCTGGAAAATTGGACGCCGATGTCCTTGCAGGACGTGCAATTGTACAAGAATAGCAATCATTCTTGGTCCGACATCGGCGGCCTCGCAGACACGAAGAGTTCTCTCACGGAAATTCTGCAGTGGCCGCTCACGTACCCAGAGATCTTCAAGAACGCTCCGATAAAACTCCAGAGCGGTGTTCTGTTGTACGGAATGCCTGGTACCGGGAAGACGATGTTGGCCAAAGCAATCGCCGGCGAATGCGGAGTGAATCTGATCAGCATCAAGGTAAAGAAAAAATAATTGGATAATTTTTCATCAGAAATAAGATGTGCGTTTAATTTGTTATGATGCTTTATTTGCAATTTTTATTTCACGTAATTTTACCTCTTAATTAAAATAAATGACATATATGTATAGCAGACTTTTTTTTATTTTTCCAAATAATAATGAGTATTGTTTCAGGGTCCAGAATTATTGTCAAAGTATATAGGTGTCAGCGAGGAATCTGTGAGAAACGTGTTTGAAAGGTATAATGAAAATTTCTAATTGTAAGTTTTTTTTTCAATTTAGCCGTTCTTACACTTTCATCTCTATGAAAATTTTTAAAAATTTATTATATTTTGTTGTTACATTTCGAAGAGCTCGTCGTGCAAAGCCGTGTGTTTTATTCTTCGACGAATTCGACAGTCTCGCACCTAGGTGAGTGATAAGACAAGTTGCTGTAACGTTTATTTATTTGCTTTTATCTAATAGCCTTTCAATGACAACATAAGTATTCTTTATATTAAATGATGCAATTTATCTTGTATTTTCGTAAAGTTTAATTATTTACCTTTTATCTGAAAGTCTTTCAATGATAACATAAGTATTCTTTATATTAAATGATGCAATTTATCTTGTATTTTCGTAATCGTATCTTCAAGAAAGCTGACTGCGAGTTAGATAAAAAATTATCTATATATAAGAGATAGATAAATACAATAATTATAATAACTTATTATTTTATAATTTATCTATTATTTATTTATTTATATATAATTTATCCTCTTTTTTTAATTTGTGTTTTAAGAAATAAGATATTTCTTTTATTTTTATTTCGTTCCAATTAGACGCGGACACGATAGCACCGGAGTTACTGATCGGGTGGTGAATCAGCTGTTAACTCAACTTGATGGGGTTGAAGATCGCGAGGGAGTAGCTGTTGTGGCAGCGTCCTCAAGGCCCGACTTGCTTGACCCTGCTCTTTTGAGACCGGGACGCCTCGACAAGTGTTTGCACTGTCCTTTACCAGACATGGTAAAATGACTAAATGACTGTCTTTTCAATATAATAATCACTTTCTGCAATTTATATCAAGCTTTTACGTTAATTAATATTTCTCTTACAGTTGGAAAGAGAGGCGATCTTTGCGGTTCTGTGCGATTCTCAAAATATAGACAAGGCGAAACTGGATCTGAAGGAACTATCTCAGCTCTCCGACGGATTTACTGGCGCTGATATCAACGCCGCGATTACTCTGGCGAGACTGTCAGCGTTCGAAGATGCCTTGGCAATTGCAACTGTAAGTGTATTATAATCTTGATCCGATAAATTTAATTAAGAATAAGAATAAGAGAAAAAATTGTTATTTGTTTCATAAATTTAATTAATATAGAATAGATTACAAACTCCTTCTACCAGACATGCATAATGCAAATGATCGAAATGCGAAATTCCAAATGCTACCTCGTGACTGATCTTCCGAATCGCTAACCGTTGGCTTTGCATTTTTGCGTGGAACAGATTGCATCGTTAATGGCCGAGTCGCTTTGTTGCTGCTGCTGTTGCTGCTGTTGTTGCTGCAGTATCTGAGCGGCGTTGTAATGAAAAGCGCTTCTCGCGCGATTCTCTCGAGAATCATTTGTAGGGTAGCTTCCGAAGTAAGATAGTGCGTAATGACGATAATATCGTTAGGTGTGCACCCTACGGTGTATACACACAGTAGGGGCGCGCCTGGAAGAACGGGGGGAGGGGAAAGCTGCAGGGGCTGTAGGTGCTGCGATATAACCGAGGAAACGTAGAGACCAGGTTTATTAGCACACGGTGCCGAGAGCACCGGGCGACCAAGCCACCCCCTTCGGCGCTCTCCTCTCCCCCTCTCGTCCCTCCCGTCCTCCCTACGCCTCGCTGAACGTCGAGGGGGTTATTATCTTATGCGTTATAATGATACACGGTTAGGGCCCCGCAGCGGTCCTGCAAGATCGAAAGCCAGACAGCCATTCCGCTAGTTATGGTGCTCGTTAGTTATCTCTTCTCTCTTAGACGTCTTTGACATTTTTACTATTAAGCCTTCAATCACGTGCAACACATTTATTTATTATTCATTTTTCGTTTATCTTGGCAATTTTTTTTGGCAAATTACTTTTTAATGAATTTACGTGAGAATAAATATAAAATTCAATCATTTTTTACTTTCATTTTATCGACTGCATCGCAATTCTTGCAAGAGTTATTATTGTATAATAGTGTCCAACAATCATTAGAATGAATGAATTAATTCCTTAATATATACTGATTTTTTTTCATATTTTTTAATTTCTATCTGAGAAAATAAAATATACGAGTCTTGCGAGAGAGAAAGAACAAGTATAATACACGACTGTAAAGATAAGTTTAAATTTAGTCATTGGTCGCTTTTGTATACATGTGTGTTTAGCTAGTTTAATTAATCGGAGTGAATCGGATCCGCGTTAAAAGGTCGTAGAAACACGTCTTCGAGGTATATGAGGGACGAGTGGCGCGTCTTACGGGAAGCTATTAATTAATTCGCATCGGAGAAAACGAAGTTATACGGCGGCACTTACCTCCCGGAAGAACGCGAGTATCCAAACTGTGCGTCTAATTAGCGAGCGAGTTTCCGGAGAGCGCAACGCATCTCAAGAGAGAGAGAGGGAAGTGATAAGTGATTATGTGGATAGCAACATCGGGACTGTCTTCCCAAGCGATGCAGATTGTACCTAACTCTAATAATTAATTCAAATCGACGCTATTAACACGCAACATTAAGCTTTTGATGTCGAGGAATGGACTTGATATATTTTTTTACGCGATTTAAACAATATAAATGATTGTAGTGGTCTATGTATATTTTATATTAAAAAGCTGTAATAATTGTTATATTCTAATATCATATTTTTTATATACTAATTTTGCTTATCGATTACAGGACGGTAAAGTTAATGCAACCGACATCAAAGTCACGCAAACGCATCTCGTAGAGTCTGTCAAGTCGACAAGACCATCCTTGTCTATCGCGGAGAAACTTAAATACGTCAAAATGTAAGTAAGAATATGTGCGAGGACATTGAGATTATGAGAACTGAATTATTACATTCATTATTATATTGCTTCATTATTTCAGTTACGCCAGATTTTCCAAGGGGGATAACTTTGTGGAAGATGTACTAAGGAGCCAAAAGACGACACTAGCTTAATCGAACAAGAAAATTACAATTAAAATTTTAGAATTAGAATTAGAATTTTTTTTCAAATGGAGCCAAAACTTTTCAAACGAAAAATATTTTTATATTAAAAAAATTTATACAATTATTTGTATAAATTTGTATAAGTTATATCGAGTCGCATCAACACGACGTAAACGATAAACAATGACACGCGTAGTCGTCATTTTCTTCTTGCCAAGTATTATTTCTCGAGTTTAAGGAATCAACCTCTCCTCGACGAGAATCCTTCGCGAATCCGTATAACACGAGAGCGTGTGACACACGGGAAAGATTTCAGCGGGTGCAGCCGGTGCCGCGAATCGGGCGCGAGGCCGGATGTCGCGCCGGGGCAAAGTTAAATTAAATCACGGGCGAAGGCAGCTAATATTGTAGTTTATCTGGCGGGACATTAGCGCGGTGAAATATGCGCCTCCTTCGCCCGAGCGAACTTAAAATCAAGATCTCAGCCGGCGAACTTCCCAGCCCGCCCGACCCAGCCCACGCCGACGACGTCGACGCCGGCGCGTCCTTCCTGCTAAGTCGCGCGTGAAAATACTAATTATTATACCGATTATTAATACGAAAAGTTGCCGGCGCGCTAAGTCGGAGAGCTTCGAGGAGAGGAGTTCTCGCGGCGGAGTTTCGCGGCTCGGAGCATCCGGATTATGCTCGCGCTCGCTTATGCCAGTTATGGGAAGGAGGAGGAAAAGCGTCCTTCTCCTCGTCGCCGACAGTGGCTAAGAGTATCGCGCGCTGCGCCAGATAATGAATTTATTAGCGTAAGCGAGATGGTATCGCTTGCAGCGAAAGTCGACATATTGTCTGGCAGAATTCGCATTTGGATCGGTTCCGTTCGTCGAGACATGTAGTGTCAATTTGTTCGCGGAATGATATGTTTTTTCACGTGGAACATGACCGAGAGGAACCCGAGGAGAGCGCTACTCGTAGGGTTAAGCCGCGAAATGGCGAAAGAAAGACGGTGGGATGCGGGAAGAGGGGGACGATGACGACGAAGACGACGATGGTAGTTCTCTGCTTAGCATAAAAATGGCCAATTGCCTGGCTAACAAGCGACGGTCGAGCGACATGAAGAGAGAGCTGTTGGAACCGACGAAGCCGGCTAACTCTGTTAGCGCCTCCCCCGTCCGAGCCGAAGAAGATTAGTTAGCGTAAATGCCGCCGGTTGACGCATTTTTATTCCTGATTACCGTTTCTCGCCATGCTAATCCCATTTGTGCTGGCGACATTCGGTAAACTCGACTTCGCGCCGGCAACAAATTGCCATCCTCGGAAAAAGGAGATGGAAAGGACGGAAGGAAGGAAGGAGGGAACAGAGGCTGTAGGGGGGATGGAAAGGTAAGGTAAGGTATGGTACGTAAGAATATAAAGGAAATAGGCTGCTATTTAGGCCAGGGAGAGAGATTCGCGAAGCGAAGGGTGAAATATTGGCCGTGTCGGACATGGACGGTAATTTTATGATCGCGGTTTTCTCTAATAAAGAAAGTATCTTGATTGAAGAGAATATCTTGAAGAAAATAAATATCATGAATAGAGAAGTATGATTGATTAAAATTTAAAATTTTTAATAAAAAAGAGAAAACGCGAGAGGTTCTGATCATTTTTAAATTTTATATAAACTAAAGAAACAACTGTTTTTTGACATGAAGCATTCAAAAGTTTAATTAGCAAAATTATAGAAATATTTCAACGATGATTTAATTGATAACAGATGGATAAAAGTATGATTGATCGAGGTTTACAATTTTAGATAAAAGAAAAAAATGCGGTAGGAATCTCGATTGTTTTGAAAATTTTACATAAATTAATGAAACAGCTGTTTTTGACATAAAAACATTGAAAAATGCAATTACCAAAATCGTAAAAATATTTCAACAGCTGATTTAATTGATTTTGTGTGAACGAGGAGAATTTTTCTTTAATTTTTCTTTAATTAACGCAATTCATTCGAGACTAATTCTTTAAGAAATAATCAAACGAGTGAGTTTCTCCGCATCTCCTTTTTTTGCGAAAAAACGCTATGCAAAGTTTCGCACGAAAAAAGGAATACGACAGCTTCTTCGGGAATTCTGCGATTGCCTCCGCATCTTCGCGATGTTATAATGGCAGAAACGACAACTTATTCGCTCACGGAAACACGAAAACCCGACAAGAAACATCACTATGATTCTGCCACGACATAATCTTACGATTCAAGTAGGTTTTATTGAAAACTTGTCGCAAGTTTCGATCCTCAATGATTTAAGATAAAACTAAGATATGAATGAGACTATATAAATAATGGTATCTACGATTTCATTAATTTTTGTCGAGTATCGAATCAACATGGAAACAACATAGATATAATAGATATATCCTAGTATAAAAGAGATATTAAATTGTCAAATCACAGTATAAGAGAGATATTAACTTGTCAAATTGTCGAGAATATAATAATCATTTCCCGATAAAGCATGAATGTTAAGAGATAATAAAAATTTCCCAATTATCTTAGCTGTCTTTCGAAATATAGAAACGTGTCGAAATTACTTTGCTTGTAAATTCCAGGGTGTGTTAAAATAGAGACGATTCTCAAATATTCGTCGCGGTTAAACCGATAAAGAGGAGAAAATCTCCGTCGCTTTTTGGCAAGGAAGACGACGCAGAGAGGAGGGAGAAGAGAAAAAAAGGAGAAGAAAAAGAATGCCGCCGCGGGGAGAAGGGGGGAGGGGGAGGGCAAGCTGAATGCGGGGTTTTCGATCTCGTGCCATTCTATCATTGACAATTTCGCGCAAATGGGATGATGGCGGGCGATTGGCGCCGGTGATCGTCGAGGCGTGCGTCGCGCGCTCACATTGGCGTTAAATAAGAGTAAGCCACCCGCGCCATCCGGTCCATGACGACGCGGCATAATTGCCTGTGAAATCACCAGATGGATTTTGCCTCCTTGTTCTGCTCCGCCCCCGCCGGGCTCTTCGTCGGCGCAACAAACTTCGTAATTGTGGACGAGATTGTCGGCCTAAACGGATTGTTTCGGCGCGACTAAGGTAGCGACTATCATTCGGCGCATCGTCGACGACTGATGATCGGGGTTCCGACAATATCTGGCGGATCGATAGATCTTGGTGTACGATACGACTGTAATCGTTAAGTATCTATAACAATGGATCTGTTAAAATAAATAAATAAAAAATGAGAGAAATACTTTTATCTTAAAAATGTTAATTTTAATAAAAATGATATTCGATTAAATCCGATAATAAAATTGATCCTCGAGCGGCAGCTTCTTCTGTTCTCTTTATTGTATCGAGAGAAAATAATATATCAATTGCGCTCTCTCGTGATTAGATTCTCGGAGATACGTCGAGGTATCGATGCGAATCGAACTCGTTAGCGGGTGAGACGTCGTTCGCAAACACGCGGAATTCCCACGATAAATTGCACCGGGAGTGTTCCATTTCTCGAAAGTATCCGCCGCGCGTCCCTCGACAATCGAATCGAATGGAAAGAAAGCAGAATCATCCGTACGATAACTCAATTATCAGAAATGCTAGATAAATACACGCGAGCTCTTCCCTTTCCGGAATGATCTCGTTTCTTCGAGCCACCGGATCTTTTCCAAGTGCACCTGCGGAACAAGATGCCCTTCTTTTCCATCTCTTTATACTTATAATAGCAACATTCTTGATTTTATTCATTTCATTCTTACGTAAATTTCTAGTACAAAGTTGTCCCTGTTATCCTACGCTATCTCTCATTACTTAATTTTCGTATCATAAGTTATATACGCTCTTACAAATTGTTTATTTCTGTTACATTTCCATTAGAGTGTTTTAAGATATTCCAGCTTGTTAAATCAGAAATTCTTTTCAGCAATTGCGTCACAAACAATTACGTCAAAAGGGCAAGTCTCAGCGACCTACGGCGTGACGATGACTCGTCGGTACTCACCGAAGCGTCTCTCTTTGAGAACCTCGCAAGGAGAGGAGAGGCGAGGCGCCCCGCGCCGTTGGCGACGACGACGACTTTATCCCCACAGCCAGCCGACGTGGTTGCTGCGATATTTACAGGGCGTCGAGGCGTGGGTAACGCAGTTTGCCGCAATTTCTTGTTTCCATTAGGTTGGCCGGCCTGCGGGGTAAATTCCACCCTGCCCCTTTCCCGGGGTGAGAAGGGTGCGCAACTTCGATGCTCTTTCTCGCTCGCTCTTCGGGACGCCCTAGAGATGGGTCAGGGAGAGAGACAGAGACCCGGTCGTCGTCATCATCGCCGTAGCTTGGGAAACGGTGCACATACAACCGCGGCTCTTCCTCCCACTGTGCCAGATCAAATGACGCGCGCCAGCGCCCACAATAACGGCCTCTTCACGCTTCAACCCCTATCCCATTCCGGCCGAGGCCCGGGACCTCTGTCTACCGATCACGATAGTTTGCTGAAAGCGCGTCTGAGGGTGCGAATTCGATATCGAAGCTTAGACATCAAAAGTTCCGAGCTTGAAGCTTGAGAATTGGAGAACGTGAATTTAAACCGAAACTAGAACTTTTAAACATTGACAGATCTTTATCAAATTATTCTTTTATTGTTTCGCTCTAGTCGATTTGTATTTATATTGCATACAGAATCTGTCCTAAAAATATATTGAAAAAATTATAATGTAACGAAAATATAATAAAAATTTAAAATTTAAATTAATCACAAAATGGTCAATTCTATATTACTAGAATTAAGCCTTGCTAATTCTGTATCAGTAGAAATAGCAATAACATAACAGCATAACAAGAATAAAGGAAAATCGTAAAAAATAAAAATATTAAAGTAAAAAATCTTAGCAATTCTAACAAAAATTTGGAAAAAATTTAACGTTTCAAGTTTTGAATCGATGTAAATCTCAGTGAGAAACTTTGCATTCGAAAGTTCAAAGTATCAAGTTTAATATTAAAAAATTAATATCAAGTTTAATATGAATAAATTCTAATATAAATGAAATATCTAAATTTTTAGAAGGCATAAGCAAACGTGAAACTTGTCGCTTCCGGCAGACGAGACGATGAGACGGAACGCGATGCGAAACGATAGAA